AGTAGAGAGTCTATTCTTTCTTTTGGTGGTTTCGGTTTTTACATAGTCATAGAACAAAATATTCTGTGGGTCCTGAAACATCAGTCAAAATGCTCTAAAACGTTGGCAGTATGGGGCTCTCTGTTCTGAAAATGGCTGGCAGCCAATGAGTTAACCACTGACTAATACTGATGCTGTGAAGACAGGATAATATTCGGGGGCGCACATGCTCAATGCGCATCAGGGGGATTAATATTAGGACAATTAAACAAATACATTTTTTACTCGCCAAGACGCCACCCATTACGCACAGTGCCAGCTAGTAGTCTGTTCCCAACCATGCTGTTACCCATGGTTGCCACAATGTTGGTTGATTTGCGTATCACATATGACCTATACATTGATTGAATGAAAATGCTTCCTGTTGACATAAACAAATTCGTCCTGTGATGGCTGAGGACTAATTGTTTTCACATTTATTTATTACAACAGTTTCCCAGCATCACCTCTAAGTGTTGCCAAAGGATCAACAGCTGTAGAAACGTGTGTACGCCAGCCATGAGGATGGCATGAGGCACCGCACATTTCCAAGGTCATTTTACTCTTGATACATCTGACAAGGACATACGCCACGTTTTCGTGCATATGCACCTTTTGTACATGAGGCCACAGGTGATGCAAATTTCAAAGCTTTATAAATATTCTGACTCCTGAAACCTTGTCCCAACAATCAGCAGCCATGGGCTCCTCTAAACAGCTGCCTAGAACTCTGAAAACTATAATAACTGATGCCCACAAAGCAGGAGAAGGCTATGAGAAGATAGCAAATTGTTTGCAGGTAGCTGTTTCCTCTGTTCGTAATGTAATTAAGAAATGGAAGTTAACAGGAACTGTGGAGGTCAAGTTGAGGTCTTGATGACCATGAAAACCTTCCGAGAGAGCTGCTGATAGGATTGTTAGAAAGGCAAATTAAACCCCCGTTTGGCTGCAAAAGACCTGCAGCAAGATTTATCAGACTCTGGAGTGGTGGTGCACTGTTCTACTGTGCAGCGACACCTGCACAAATATGACCTGCATGGAAGAGTCATCAGAAGAAAACCTTTCCTGTGTCCTCACCACAAAACTCAACATCAGAAGTTTGCAAAGGAACATCTGAACAAGCCTGGTACTTTTCGGAAACAAGTTCTATGAAGTGATTAAGTTAAAATAGAACTTTTGGGACACGAGCAAACGTATGTTTGGAGAAAAAAGGGTGCAGAATTCAATAAAAAGAGCATCTGTCTATCTGTAAAACACGGGAGTGGATTGATCATGTTTTTGGACTGTTGCAGCCAGTGGCACGTGGAACATTTCACAGGTAGAGGGGAAACTGGATTCAGTTAAATTCCAGCAAAGTCTGGAAGCAAACATCACACCATCTGTAAAAAAAAAGCTGTAGATGAAGAGAGGATGGCTTCTACAACAGGACAATGATCCTAAACACACCTCGAAATCCACAATGGACTCCCTCAAGAGGAGCAAGCTGAAGGTTTTGCCATGGCCCTCACATTCCCCCGACCTAAACATCATTAAAAATCTGATAGATAGATAGATAGATAGATAGATAGATAGATAGATAGATAGATAGATAGATAGACAGACAGACAGACCTCAAAAGAGCAGCACATGCAAGATGACCCAAGAATCTCACAGATCTAGAAGCCTTGTGAAGAATGGGTGAAATATCCCCAAGCAAGAACTGAAAGACTCTACGCTGGTTACAAAAAGTGTTTAGAAGCTGTGATATTTGCCCAAGGGGGCACTACTGACCATGCAGGGTATCCAAACTTTTGCTTCAGGCCCTCTAACACAAATGTAAATATCTTCATAAAATATGTCTATCAGTATTTACTTTTTTCCATGTTCAGCTCATCTGAATGCAGGAGTACCATGCAAGAGTGTGTGTGTGTGTGTGTGTGTGTGTGTGCAAACATATGTAAATGTATACACTGTATACTTGCCCACAACAAAAAAACAGAACTGTTGATACAGTTTGCACAGTTGAACACAGTGTAATTGTGTTCAACTGTGATTAATGCATAGCAAGAGCAGACTCCTGTTCTTTGAGCACCAGTAGCTGGTGGTGGATAAGGTTGACATGTTGTAACAGCTGCAGCAGTGTGAGATTACTGAACAGCGGCAGCAGTGACCCGCAGAGCTGAACTGCACTTGTCAGCTCTGCAGGGAGCAAAAAACACTCTCAAGGGAGCAAATCATGCAACACGCACATTTGAACTCGTGTTAACAAAGTGGTTATTAGTATGGCAGCTGAAATCCTTCCCGCGCTCTGAACAAAAAAAAGTTGAGAAACTAATGTGGCTTTTAGTGTAGGAAGTACTCATGCAGTAAGTTCACAGGTAGATGCACCGCATTTAAGATAAAACTTTACTTATCGCATTGCTGTTTTAAAAAAGTTTGATATTTTTGCCAGTAAATATGCACAGGTGTTATACATGTTTAAAAACCATCTAGTTCCTGTTCTATCCCAGCAGGCACTATGGGTACATAATACAGTTGTTTCTTTATGTATTGGGCCTTATGATGTCTTGTCCACATCAGGGAATGGGACTAGAGGTTTTCAGATGGGAAACGTTTTTCCTCTGGATGCCTTTCTGTCAGCATCAGAGGCTGACGTCAGATTTAGAATCCCTGCTTTGTCAAGCTGACAGATGGGAAACAAAGCATACCAGGAATTCAACCAGTGTTCCTTCAAAATAAAAGCATGAATTTGTCACTAAGAAACATATTTGGTATCATCCACCAGAATTACCTAAAACTTATAAGAGTATTTCAAAATCCTTGCTTAAACTCTGAAACAATGTAAGACAAAAACTGAGACTCTGGGGGGAACTATTTAATTTGATTCTTATTTTTTTTTGACAGAACAGATCGTTCTCTGATGTAGAAGTTCATGAAGATAGATACATAAATGGGCTCTGGGAACATTTGCAATTATTATTTGACATTTTATGATCTGAACTTCTAATTAGTGAAACTAGTAAAACGTAGAGGCAACCTCTGAGGACACTCGGTGATGTCCTTGTAATGTTTGGAGGAATTTAAGACTTTAAGAAATGAAAAACATACCCATGGTGGTTATTAAATAAGCTAATTCCAGTATCATTACAGTAATTATTATTATTGTTATTATCATTATTATTATCACTGTTGTTGTTTTTGTTGTTGCTGGCTATATTTAGGCCAACAAAATAATAGATAAATATATAAATGAGGCTTCAGCATTTCTCTCTTTTTTCGGTGGCGAAGGGGCTTGACTGGGGCACTGAATTTACTAAGGCACTGGGTACTCGGGACTAAGGGACAGGCCCATTTTTGAAAACTCATACCCGCCCATACCCGTAAAGCTCAGTACCAGAACCTGTTACCCGTCATTATGTCCCAGTCAAAGCTGCACCCCTTTATAAAAGTCCTGCAATGCGACCCGCACTCGTGATTAAACACAAACATTACAAATCCAGCAGATGAAAAGTCTCTTTCACTGGCTGTGCTCAATGCTGGGATGGTGAAAACATTCTGTTCAATCACTGCCAAGTTAGGAAACAAAGGATCCTCCTTGGGGCCATGAACTTGATGTAGGCTGCCACCTCATCCTGGGGCTGCAAAGTTTCATCCTCCACGTCGGTGACAAATGTGACAATGGGGCACCCGACCAGGTGCAGGACTCTGGGGCATACAACCTTAAATGTTTGAATGTTTTTTTTTTTTCTTTTTTTGTATGGATTTTACCACCAATTTTTGAAGGAATATGCCTTCATGTTTTCTTTAAAAATCACCAAAATTACACCATTTATCACAGCCAGAATCTGTAAAACAGAAATTATCTTTGGATTTTAAAATTTTTGACAGTCCAGATCATGTGCGATGAGTGCTTTGTTCTTGTAATATTATGACCTTATTCTCATAGATATACGATTTAATTCTCATAGATTTACGATTTGATTCTCGTAGATTTATGATTTAATTCTCATAGATTTACCACTTTATTAATATTACGACTTTATTCTCCTAGATTTACGACTTTGTTCTCATAATATTATGACTTTATTCTTGTAATATCATTACTTTATTCTTGTAGATTTATGACTTAATTCTCGTAGATTTATGTCTTTATTCTCATAATATTGCAACTATTATCTTGTAGATGTATGACATTATTCTATTAATATTATGACTTTTGTAATGTTACAACTTTATTCTTGTAATATTACGACTTTATTCTTGTAATGTCATGACTTACTCTGCTAGATTTACATTCTTGTAATATTATGACTTCATTCTCATAGATTTACTACTTAATTCTCGTAATATTATGACTTTATTATCATCACAGCCCTATTTCGAGGCGACACGGTAGTGTAGTGGTTAGCACAGTCACCTCACAGCAAGAGGGTTCCTGAAGGGAGCCCTTCTGTGCGGAGTTTGCATGTACTCCCCGTGTCAGCGTGGCTTTTCTCCAGGTAGCCTACTCCAGCTTCCTCCCTAAGTCCAAAGACACACAGGTGAATTGGTGACTCTAAATTGGCTGTAGGTGTGAATGTGAGTATCTGTCTCTATGTGTTAGCCCTGTGATAGTCTGACGACCTGTCCAGGGTGTACCCTGCCTCTTGACCAATGTCAGCTGGGATAGGCTCCAGCCCCCCCGCGACCCTCAAGACGATAAGCTGTTACGAAAATGGATGGATGGACAGCCAGCCCTAATCTAATCCTCCTTCGTACTGATAAATAAGGAACAGTCCCTAACTGAAACAAAAAAAAAAACGCTTTAAGACCTTGTTTTGTTTTCTGGTCAGTTTCTTTTGGACAGGACTTGTGTCTTTGGTAAGCCATTTGTGGGTTGTTCCACTGCATGTTTGTAAGAACGCGTTTATTTTGCAAGCGACCGGAAGTACTACACACACAAACACACACACACACACACACGATCCCTCTCCCTCCCTCCTTCAGCTTTAAGCACTCTGCCCACAGAGTATATGTGTGTATGTGTGTGTCGGCCGTCAGCTGAATAAGCGTTAGAGCTGTCGGTGCACAGAAACAGAAATAGGTGAAGGCTCAGACTACAACAACCAGCAGCATCCTAAAGAGCGATCCGGGCTCTGTGGGGCCTCTCCGGATCCATGGCCTGATCTGTACCGGCGGCGGATCAGCTGCAGCTGAAGCCTTCGAGATGCTCCGAGCTCTTTGCAGCTGCACAATAACACCGTCACCGATACCGGCCCGGGGTTCCAGCTATGCTTTTCAGACGGAGAGCCAGGTAACGTTAGCTAGCTAGCAGGAGCCGTCCGAGTGGGGGTTAGGGGGAGAGAAGGGGGCCGGGGTTTACAGAGGGATCCACGGCAGCTGGGATGCACTGATTGTGGGGAAATAAAGGGTGGCGCTGCGCTGTGACCTGCAGAGAAGGAGGAGAAGGTGTGGGTGGAGGGGCTGCTTCAAAGGCCTTTCTCTGGACATTTTTCAGTCCATCTGCGAGACCCGTTCCTGTCTTTTCCAGTGTGTGTGTGTGTGTGTGTGTGTGTGTGTGAGAGAGAGAGAGAGAGAGAGAGTGTGAGTGTGTGGGAAGGCAAGCTGTGATGTAAAGGCTTCTTTGTGTTGTGGTGGAGACTGTGGGGTGGTGGCCACTGCTGATTCCTCTGTGTCTACCACCGCTCATATTGTGTATCAGTACCACCCATCTACTGCTCAGACTGTGGACCATCTTACCTCTGCTCTCCATATGCTTATGACGTGTTTAATATTGTCTGGTGACTGTGAGTATTGTTAGAGATTATCATCAGTGAAGACTAAGACTATTAATGTCCTTCATACTGTTGGTTTCTGCTGTGAAACATCTCCATCACACACCACTTTGTATCTCCTGTAGACGCCCAGAGAAAAGTTTTCCTTCCTATTTGCTTGCTAATGGCACCATGAATAACACCTTTACTATATATAATGACACAATATCCTATAAAACGACAGCTTTAATCTAATTATGGCAGCAATAAACAATTTATATTATGGATTAATTGGTTGTGTTAGATGTTTTGTCGATCAACTAAAAGAACAGTTCACCCCATAATCAAAAGTACACATTATCTCTTTTACCCGTAGAGCTGTTGTTCTGGCGTGAGTTGCAGAGTGTGGGAGATATCAGCCGCAGAGATGTCCCCCTTCTCTTCAGTATAACGGAACTAGGTGGCACTCGGCTTGTGGTGCCCAAAGCAGCAAAAAAAATTACATTTGAAAAACAACAGCAATGTCTCCTTCCAGAAATCATGACCTGGTGACTCAAGATAATCCACACACCTTGTTAGGAGCAGTTTCATGTAGGAACTATTTTCTTTCTACTTAACTATGCCTGCAAACTGTATCATCGTGCAGGAGGAAGTGTGCATCTATTCATGGATGAGAGGCTCATGCTCATGACAGCATGAGATGTAAACATCAATGGTGTCCTCCTCGGCTAAGCTGTAATGTTAGCTAGCTCAGTGGTGCTAAATGAGATAGCAGCAGACTTCCTTCAGTGCGGTGATTCAATGTGTAGGTGTAGTTTGGTAGAAAGAAAATAGGTCCTGCATCAAATTGCTCACAACAAGGTCTGTGTATTATCTTGAGTAACCGGGTCATGATTTCTGGAAAGAGACATTGCTGTTGAGTTTTCAAATGTATTTGAACACCACAAGCTGAGTGCCATCGAATTCCATTATAATGGAGAGAAGGCAGACATCTTCATAGCCGATATCGCCAACACTCTGCAACTCACAGTAAAACTATCCAGACTGATAAATTGCACTACAAGTAAGAGGAAAAGATAGAGATTTATGATTTTTGGGTGAACTGTCCCTTTATTCAACTAGTTATTTAAGTAATATTTGTGAAAAATGTACTGTTATAGTTTGAGACCACAATTAATAAGTAATTACGATTAGTCATTTGTGTAACTGTTCTTTTTGTCAATTTATTATGTAGGCTAGTATAGATTATGAAACAAATATTATCAAATATTTAGCACAGAAAGCCCCGGATTTGAGCACATTGAATACATTTCTGGGGGTTACTTTTGCTGCACAAACCATTTGTCTGTTTTAAACTTGTTTAGCAGACATAAGCTTGGGCCCTAAGTGTAGGTTGTGGTTTCATTTGTTACCAAAAGTAGAGATACACCAATACCAATGTTTTAAAATATCAATTTTGCCAGAAGCCCATACTGATGTTTTTTGTTGTTGTTGTTAATTATGAACAGTTTATGAACAAACTGAACACTTTATGTTATTAGATAAAATAGAGGTTGACATAGATTTCCTTTGGGGACATAATTTACAGTTCAAAAAAGATAATAAATCGCAATATATTTTATCGCAATACTCAGCATATCGCAACATATTTAAAATCGTAATAATATTGTATCGTGACTACTAAGGATTCAGGTTGGGGTTGAGGATGGGACACAAAAACACTTTCCCCCAGGGCTTTGCCCTGGAGATGAGTGTTTGTAAAAGGGATGCACGATAATATCGGCACTTAATCAGTTTTGGCTGATATTGGCTTTGAAATGAACCATCAGAATCAACCAACATGCTTTTTCATATTTTGCACAGTGAATGAATATTACATACATTGAAAAGGCCCATATATCTGCATATCAGATATCTGCAAAAAATCCAATATCATGCATCCCTAGTTTGGAACCTTGTGAACTTCGAGTTATTTTAAAGTACGTCCTCACCATATTTATTTCTCTAAACCTAATCTCCATAACTTTATGTTAATTACGTAACTGTATGTTATGGATGTAATGTCATTCATGGCTAATTCGTAGGACATCATATAAACCGTCCTATTAGGATACGTTGATCAGTGAATCATCATCAATATTCAATTGCTGACTGGCTGATGGCAGTCAACAAAAAGTGAATACCAATGTTTGGCCAATACATCTCTAATAAAAGGTCACTGAAACCCATTTACAAGCTGGGAAGTAATAGGTTGTTAGTGAGCAACAAAAAGCTGGTTGACTGAGATGGGGTTGGTCATTTCAACCACATCCATGTATGTTTAACCAGTAGGTCTTTTCATTATGTAACAAGTCTGGAGCGTGACAGAACAGACCCTCTCTAATGACTGCTTTTACATGGACAGTAAATTTACATTGTGGTGTGCAAATGTCCAAATGTGGTCACCCAATCACACATCCAGTTCTGCTCTGCTGAGTACAGTAATGGAGTTGTTCACTGAATTTGAATTTCTTTGTTTAAACTCTCTCCTTGTCTCCAGGCTTTGACATTAAACATTATAGTTTTATCTGCTGCTTGTGTCTACACTGGCAACAATGACCTAACTCCCTGTTCACACGCATGCAGTTTCTTTCCCATATCTCTCCAGCCTGAGGCCAGCAGGCATGTTTGCCTTCAGCATTTACATACTCGCTCTGATTGGACAGTTATTTTCTCCCTTTGCCACTATGCTGCCATGCATTAAAGAAGCTCATGCCCGGAGCGACCCCAACGTATCAGAGGAATAGCAGTTACTTATTATGGCGTGGTAAAAGTTCTTGTTTATCCCTGTCAAAAAATACACGACAAGGAACAAATCATTGTTACTGTCAGCAGATATATTGACCAGACAGGTTTTGATCAGGAAAAAGCAGCAGGTCCTGTTGTCTCTGGATGTTTCAGGCTGCTTTCCTCCCTGTGATGATGATGATGATGATGATGATGATGATGATGCCTTAGTCATGTTTGCTTTATGACTCATCCAGATCTCTTCCTCTCTCTATCCCTCTTTTTGCCTCTCCACCCTTCTCTTCCCCACACTCTGCCCATCTCTTCATCTCCTCTCTTTTTATGACATCATCTCCCCATTGTCCCCCTCCTCCCCCTCATAACATCATCCATCCATCCATCCATCCATCCATCCATCCATCCATCCTTTTGTCCCTCCATCTCTCATTTCACTTTGCTTCTCTCATTTCCCTCCCTCTTTCTTTATCCTCCATACCGTTGCCCCTTGTCCATACTGCCCTCCGTCCTCCCCCCACCATCCTTCCTTCCATCCATCCATCCATCCATCCATACATCCATCCATACATACATACATACATACATACATCACCTCCCCTCCTCCCAGGATGTTGCGGTGGCTGGTTTGTGGTCGGGTGGGTCCAGTTTGGATGTGGAAGGCGCTGCTGCTCTTCGTTGCCATTGCCTTTGCTGGCCAGCTGTTGGGGGTCATCTTCAACAAGAGGTACTGAATTTCATTTACTCACCAACTACACCAACAGATAGGATTCAGGTTTTTTTTAGCTTGGCGCCACCTAGCGTCTGTGGTATTGCGTTGCACTGTCGCAATGACCAAATTGACCGTGGGGATCAGAGATAATCAATAAAATGTAGGCTGTAAATCCACCAGTATACCTCTATGTACACTGTACTAAATAAATGAGTAAAGAGACCAAGCAACAATTATCAGATTTATCTGAAGAAAAAAGGGGCAGCACGGTGGTGTGGTGGTTAGCACTGTCACCTCACAGCAAGAGGGTTACCGGTTTGATCCCGGGTGTGGGAGCTGTTCTGTGCGGAGTTTGCATGTTCTCCCCGTGTCAGCGAGGATTCTCTCCGGGCACTCCAGCTTCCTCCCACAGTCCAAAGATTAGGTTAATTGATAAATCTAAAATGGTTGTCTGTCTCTATGTGTCAGCCCTGCGATAGTCTGGCGACCTGTCCAGGGTGTACCCTGCCTCTCGCCCAATGTCAGCTGGGATAGGCTCCAGCCCCCCCCCCCCCCCCCCCCCCCCCCCCCNCCCCCGTGACCCTCAAGAGGATGAAGCGGTTAGAAGATGGATGAATGTGTGGATGGATGGATCTGAAGAAAAAAACAAATAGTAATGCAAATAATTATTTCAGAATGCACAGTACCAATATGCACATGTAAACAGTCCCGCTTCTAGAATAACCGGTACCGTATGGAAACGATGCGGCCGGTTGGAGCTCAAATTGAATGGGAAACAAAGTTCAGTGTTCACTTAGCTGGGCGTCACTTAGCTGAGCGTCACTTAGCTGGGCGATGTCCGTCGATAGCTGCCTCTGTGAGAAGAGAAGAGAAGGAAGGGAGGGGGGTATCACTGTCCGAGGGCTGCCGTAGAATGGCAACGAGGATGTCAGCTCACCAACACTCGCTACCCGGTCCCTGGTTGCGGCGATTTGTGATGCTGGCCAGCTAGGAATGAACTAGCAGCCAGTACAGTACAGTCCTCTCTCGTCTAGCTAACATTTAGCCGTGTTACCTACTGATCCATTAGAGAGAAAGCTAGCTGAACATCGGTTTTTCCAACCCTCTTTGGTCACGGAGCTCCCTCCATCTCTTGAACGCCTGACTGAGGTTTACTCTTGTTTTTCCTCTTCTTTTATCACTCTCCTTTTTGCTCTTCTTTGCCTCCTCACACAGAGGAGGCAAAGATCTCTTTTGCTGGGCTGTTTTTCACTTGTCTCCAAACTTTGTCTGCCTGCCATTGTGCTCGTGACTCAACTATCTCATGCCCAACTCCTCATAAGGACCAGCTCCAGTCCCTAATTGGCTGACCAACCAATTTTGCAATACATGACGCATTTCCTGCCGTAAAGCAAATTTTTTCCGTGAAATTTCGGCACCAGTGGCAGAAGTTTATTGCAAAGCCACTAAGTAACCTATGTAAACGCTGATAGTCTGATTTTACTGTCGCCACTACCCTGTGCAACCCACATTATTTTCATAATGATATATTTAGGAAAAGATGCTATCTGTTGCCTCTTTAAGGTGTGCAGATAGATTCACGTCGACAGCTCATGAATTAAGTAACATTACAAGTAAACGTTCCACCTGAAAATTTGCTGGCAGTTGATCAAGTGAATTATTTTTTTGTTCAGTCTACAGCTGCTGCTAGAGGCTGCAAAATATCCTTTCATTTTATAGTTATTGTTTACTAATGTATGAAAAACGGTATAAACAGTGGTTACATAAGCTTCTAAACCAGCCACATCTCAGTCCTGAGCAAGAGTGACCACCCTCTGTGGGCCATTCAATGGACTGCAGTGTTTCTAACTAACTCCAGATCTGTGTGCTAGGTACCCAAACAGAGGGGTGGCCAAAAATGGGGACGGGAAGGAACGGTTCTGTTGGTACCATCCAATATACCATCCAATTGGATGGTACCAATACGAAAAAATGCGTATGGAACTGAACTGAACCATACCAGACTGCTTGATGGAAACAGGGCTATTGAAAGTGAAACGTAACTGTTCATTCTGCTGGGTCTAAAAGTTTACATTCACTTCACTTGCCCCTCTCATCCATCGATCTGATCCAATCAACTCTGTTCGGATCAACAAGTCAATACTCCACCCTGCGAGTCACAAACTGTTGTGTGTTGTGTTGATTTTGAAACTGCAGTGGTAAATGTGTTGAAAGAAACTGGAATGTACATTTTCTTTAAAAGCAGAACAAACGGCTGCACTGAAAAGCTTTTATTGAAAAAAAAGGATGTGTTTGCCGTCCTTCCTACAGGGTTTGGTAAAAGTTTAATTTACCAACTGGCTCCATTGACTGGGAAAAAGATGGGACTCAGTGAAAACCCAGTGGCTGTTGTTGTTTCTCTGCTAGTTGCTCTCATGGAGGAGCAGGTCAGGGAAGTGACCAAGCTGGGAATCACAGCCATGCAACTCGGAGTCCACAGTGAGGAGGAAATCCGCAAAGACGGCAACACTCTTTCCCAGACATCATCACAGCTCATCTCCGCTGCACCTTGCTGGTCTGTTTACAGTGGCGTTGTGCTAGCCTACGTCACACATTTCATTTACTCTGATTGGTTTTCCGTCTTTCCAGTTGTGTGAAGGGGCACTTTGAGTGACAGCTGTTGATACCGCCCCTCTGGAATAGAGGAAATGTACACTCCGTGTCCAGACCCATTCGTATTTTGCGATCGGGTCTGGCAGCGCCAAGCTAGCAAGTAAATGGGAGTATTAGTGGAATATTCATTTTTTATTAGACATGTAAACAGCTCAGTAAGAATGTTGTCCTTTTTGGAATAAGAGAAAAAAAATGAATTTTTTTGTGCATGTAAATGTAGTTGTTTTTTATTTCAACTTTAACTATAGTTTCAGTTCTGTCTTTGCATTACAATTGTTGATCTTACAACCAGGTCACACCAGCATTTTAAACAGTACAGTTTGTGTAATGACTGTGTGCCATTGAAAGGAGTGTATGTTTGTACAATAAATTTTGTTGTGCATTTCAGGCATTAACTGCTCTTTAACATGTTTTTAAAGGCTCCTCCTGCGTATGTGGACAGCTATTGCCAAATTAGCATGATTTGACTGTTTTTTTATCTCGCCGCTGTCTGCTCACCATGTGACAGTGGTAACCACACGAACAACATTGAGGAACTGAGGAAAACAATACAGGAGCTAAATGCACTGATAGACTTAATCACATGACAGTTCTTTACCCAACATACAAAGGAGTCATTGTGTTGGCAGTCGGGCTTAGAGCAATATCAGCTTCACAGTTGGATTATGTTTATGAAATTAAAAAAGTCTGTCATATTCCTAACCACACTACACTGCCTTTTTTTTTTTACCGGAGCTGCAGCAACCATTTTTTTCATTGTCAATTTTTTTTAAATCATTTTTCCTTGGTTAGTCAATCAATAACTTAATCAAAGGTGACATCTACAAATGCCTTGTTTGTCCAACCAAACAGTAAGTCCATAACCCCAAAGACATTCATTTTACAATCATGTAAAACAGAGGAAAGAAGCAAATCCTCACTCACTGTATTGGCCTGCGTAGTCTGCAGATAATTGTGGTCTGCATTTTTTAAAACCAAACTTTGTCTTCTCTGTGAATTCAACAGTGAATGCAATTTGAGACACACTCAAGACACACTGCAAGAAGCTCACACGGCAAATGAAACTGTTTCCAGAGTACACAAAAAAGCAATGCACACATCTGGGACACACTTGCTGTTGCCATGGTTTTTGGCTTATGAAGTTGCTGTAGTCAGCTATCCTTAAGTGGTCCTTGAAAATGAACTAAACGTTAGTTACATTTTTCTGGGTTTATTAGGATTGCAGGTATCTGCGAGTTGCACAATATGGGAATTTGATATGGGATAAAATTGTTGAATATCGAATATGTTAACCATGCAGAGTAGTAAAGCAGCACTAGTCTAATAAACCAATTTGACCAATTAGATGATGCCTACTGTCATGGGCTCTGTCTGGTTGGCCAGAGAGTCAACAGCATAGTGCATATCAAACAAGATGGCACCTACAGACAGAATGTAATTCAATACATTGTTACCAGAGGTTGGAGTTAGTCACATATGCAAGTCACAAGTAAGTCTCAAGTCTTAACCATCAAGTCACAAGCAAGTCCCAAGTTACTGTTGTGGGAATCAAGTGAGTCAGGTTTAATCCCTGCTTTAGGTCAAGCAAGTCACAAGTCAAGTCATATGAAATTCTGGTGAACTGGTCAAACATTAGCTTTCTAGCTAACGTTTGCTGTCGCTTTCTACCTGCCTAATGGTACCTAATGTGTACCTAATTCCAAGTCAAGTCTCAAGTCAAAGTCAGGTTGAGTGTTTTGTCAGTGTTTGTCATGCAAGTCTTAAGTCCTCAAGTTAAAAATCTTGAGTCAGGTCATATGACTCAAGTCCCTTACTTCTGGTTCTGAATGTTATTATACTCAAAGGGCAATATATCAGTCTTTCACACTGTGGTTATCACACAAGTTAACATCCTGAAGCACTCAGTGCTTATAATGCCCTTATTGTAGAGCACTTGTGCTGCAATTCTGAAAGGTGCTATATAAACAAAGTTTATTAATATTGCTGTTATGAATAATATTATTATCATCCCAGTGCTGCAAAAAAAGCAATGTATCATAATAGAACAGTTCATATTATATCCTACGAAAATGCACACAAAACAGTTAGTATGATATCCTTCGAATTAGCACTCCTTGAATCACGTTACATCCTTAATGTACAGTTATGTAATTAATGTAGAGTTACGGAGGTTAGGTTTAGGCCACTGAAGTTACAGTGGTTAGGTTTAGAAAAAGAAACATGGTGAGGATAGACCTTAAAATGACTCAAAGTTCATCTCAGTTCACACGATTCCAAACACGATTCTCCAAGTGAATGTCCTGGGGGAAAGTCCACGTTTGCCAACCTGCCTCCTTACAAGACCGCTCAGGACCGCTTCCTTTCTTTACTTCCAACAGCGCATTAGTCACGTGATTGGGGCATTCCAAAATACGTGGCTTATGCGCAAGTAACTGGCTCATGATTACATTGGATATGTACGAATTTGGGTACCCAGGTAGAACAACCTGAAAAATAATATATATATTGCAGGCCTAGAGGAAATGCACAAAAATAATTGTGTAATAGGCTAATGTTATGTTAGCTGACTATTATGTTAATTAAAGCTGCAAGCAGCGTTGGGTGGGACCTCAGACTCCCACCCTTTCGGCCTCCAGCTCACGTAGACAGTTAAAGACAAAGACAATTTCTCCACATTTGTTCATGTTATTTTCAGAGGCACTAGCTTACTTCCTGTTGGGTTTAGGTCAGGGGTGTCAGCACGTGATTTGTAGGTCTCAAAGAGAGGAACAAGCCAGTTTTGGTTTTATCGTTCTACAACATACCTACGTGCCGCAGTGGTCATGTTAGTGTGTCTAGGTGGAGCGAAGACTGTCAGGAGGTTTTGGGTCACGTCACGTTTAAGAGGGCATAAAATCCAAACCGTTTGAGTAATGACAAAGTTATTCAGAGGATCTGTTTAGCCTTTGGCCGAGGTCCCTAATAATTATACACAACTAAGGATTATGTGCACATGATGCTTAGATTGTCCTGACAACACACAGGAAGGGGTTACATCCATTTGTGGTTTAGAAACAGGACTGTTGATATGCTCATTGACAGTGAGATACACCACTTAGTTTACACATTAACAACACTTAAACTGTGAGGCTGATAAAGTTAATACACATGTGAACAAAGCCTTCTTCTCTTCCTTGCTTTCTGCACATCGTACTCTTCAGCTTTCAGTGGTAATCACAGTGATCCCATCTAAAGCACTAGGGATGAGCCACGGTGTTATTGGGTTTCATGCTTGTTGAATCTGAGTTCATTTAACACCCTAAAATCCACAGAGACTGAGCTTAGATTTGTAAGCAGCCTGTGTTGGCTGAGAAGAGGACTCTGCTGTACAATTCTGAACATTAAAACAATGCATAAATCTTGTAAAATGAGATCTTAGCAGCATGAGGTATGAAATATTTATCTGGCAAGTTTAAACAAGCTGTGTTGTTTCTTTTCTAAACCATATGTTTCATTTATTTGTATTTTCAATCGTCTTTTAAATGCCTAAAAGGGTGCACTACAGAGATAAGGAGATGATTGCTCAGTGCTATGACTGATAATGGTCAATCTGTCTATTACATACTGCTGAAATTTGTTAACCTTTTTTAACAGCTAAGATTACATGTATGGATACATTAAAGAAGTTTATTCAGATGGTAAAAGATTATTCCCATAGTTAGATCTGAACAGCTGCATGATTTTTGGTATGAATACTGACTTACCAAGACCATAATACTTAAGTTAATTATTAACCCTCAAATAGTCTTTGATTTGACTTTGACCTCTTTCTCCTTGTGGAGCAGCAGGCCTCTTAAATGCTTTTCATTTAACTCCTTCATGCTATCTTCAAACATCTGAGTCCAAGGGCCCCGAGGGAGGTTCAGGTTACAGTCCCTCTGACTACTGAGAGCATTTCTGTCGTGTAGTCAGGGCATAACAACCAGCTTTTAAAAGTATGCTGCCCTCTAACTGACCCAGCCTGCTGGATTTTTGAGTGTGTTGCCAATATTTATATTATTTATTTTTTTCCTTAAATTTGGCTAGTAAAGAATGAGAGAACATGCCCTTTTAGAATTGTATCATGCACTTACCGGTCAGGCTTTACCATGCCCCAACCTGCAACCTTCCCCTCATACATCCCAAAAGGCGTTTCCAATGCACAAAGATGACAACATTGCTCAGAAGTTTCAAGTGTCAGTGTTAGGAATTATGGAGTTGTTAAAACTGTTGTTGTTGGTTAAAGCATTTACTTCTAACATCAGAACATTTCTTATTGTTATGTTGTGTTCACACTGGGCACAAATAAAACAATTTGCACAAATGAATTACATATATAGACAATGTAAAGATGCGATTAGAAGCAAATTCACGCCAGGGGGTGCGATGGGCGTGACCCTTACAAATGTATGCGTAATTGTGCTTTGTTGTTGTTTCATGAGGCTCTCACTCGCTCTCGCTTTCTCTCGCATGCATTCTTCTTTCTTTTCTCTGTGCTGTCTTAAGTGTTGATAAAGATTGGTTGTGTTGCCGCGGGATGTGGCGACTTTAACTTTGCAAGTTTTACACAGCACGTCTTTCTGTTCAATGTCGGCATACCTGAATCCAAAGTATCGCCATATAATAGACGTTGGGTTTTTTTGCCACCAACGCAGGTCGTGCTCATGCTCTACTTCACGTCCATGTTGGTCACAGCTGCACGCCAAGTGGTCAACTGACCATACGTGCTGCACACACCAGGATAGGTTGTGGGTGTAATGTCAACACACTCCACACATTACAGCAGAGGTAGTCACGTTCACAGGCACACACGTTAACATTTATTTACATTAGATTGCAAATTGCAGTCTTTTATGCGGTTATGTAATTGCACAGCCTGACATCGTGATTGTGATTAGATTAATCGTGCAGCACTAGAAAATAGGGTCAAGGTTGGAAAATACTAAACTTACCCTTTGAGTTGTGATGTTTTGCGTATTAGCAACAGTTGTCTATTTACACATCCAGCAGACACTCAGCGGCTTTGTTACTCACTTAAAGTTCCGTTTGTGTCCACCTGATGAAATCTGTTTTGATGTCCACCAATAGAAATATCTGTCTCTTTAGCTGTGTTCAACAGTATTTAATGGTGTCTCTCCACTGATGATTAGTGCAGCATTAAATTGTAGAATTTTGAGTACACACACTTTGAGATGTGATCTCAACCTAAAATGCTCGCTTCCCTTTACCTGTCCTCCAGCAGTGTCCAGCCAGCTAGTCGCTCCATCTTCTCGTCCCCTGATGCTCAGGGCCCCTCTCTGGGCTCCTGCCAGCCCCACACCCATGTCATGTTCCTCAAGACCCACAAGACAGCCAGCAGCACCGTGCTCAACATGCTGTATCGCTTTGGGGAGGAGCGCGACCTTCGCTTCGCCCTGCCACTGGGCTACCAGCTGGGCTACCCACTGCCCTTCAATGCCCACAGGGTCAAAGGTTACCGAGGTCCCAGAGTCGTGGAGTTTCACATCATGGGCAATCACATGAGATTTCATAGGCCTGAGGTAAGAGGAGAGGGGAATGTGGAATGACATAGGAGATGATGGAATGTTCTGTCGTGATGTGGACACATTGTAAAATAAAAGTGGTATGAATTGTTGGATACACTGCATATTCATTTTCATTGGTTTTTAGATTTTCAGTTGAAATTACAAATGACATACGTTATATTTTTTACCCGAAGCTTCAATCCACATGTATCTGTGTTGTAAAAATTATTGGGTTAAGCTTTTATCCGTGTATGGTCAAACTCAACTTTTACTCATGGTCCTACAGTATGAGCAAAATGTGATCAGACTTCCCCGTTAATAATACCTGTGGAGGCTCAGTTCAACATAAAATATCTGGTCAAGAATGTACTGAAATGGATGGTTTTAGAGCAGGGCAGGATCTTTACCACTTGGACTCAATCCCAGTACACCCCTTGTCCCTACCACTAAGCCCATACCCCTCTGTTTTGGGCGTTCACATCTTAGGGAAGGGTGTCCCAATTCTTGTTGGAATAGAGTTGTAGGGTGAACTGTTGGGGCTACATGGCCCTTCAAATGGAGGTTTTTTCAGAGGCACATCCCAAACAGGGTGTTATGAGAAATCTTCGGCAAGGTGGCTGCACAAACAACAAAAGAAAGCCAGAAACGTTAATTTCGTTACATTAATTTGGCTAAAATTTATCAAACCGATTTAACCTAATAAGTCACCTAATAAGTACCTAATCATTGTGCACTTAACATATTGTGGTGTGCTGGGGCTAAAGGTGAATTTTCCCAGCATGCCCTGAGACAATTTGTATAAGGCCATAAGCTGAATAAAACTGTTTAAATGTGTCCTATATCACTCACGTTACCCATTACACAGTTCATTCATTCATGAATTTTCCGTAACCACTTATCCTGTTGGGGATCGCAAGGGGGCTGGAGCCTATCCCAGCTGACATTGGGTGAGAGGCGGGGTACACCCTGGACAGGTCACCAGACTATCGCAGGACCAACATATAGAGACAGACAACCATTCACACACACATTCACACCTACAGGCAATTTAGAGTCACCAATTAACAATTACACAGTGACTAATGTTTGTGTATTTCATAATGGTTCTGCACCATGAGTTAAGTTGTGCACAGCACAGTTGGTGAGCTCCCACCTGTGTGGATATTAGAGTATCCAACATAAAGTTGTGCTGAGGTAAAATAAAGAGCACTCCCTGGTTCAGAATTGATCTCTTAGCCTTATTCTAGCAGCTGACATAACATGTGTACTCAATGTTTTTATGTTCATCTGACATAGAATTAAATGCTCAAAAAACAAAAAAAGTTCAGTTAAATTGACATAAATTTCTTTCAGACAACAGTCATGTGACACATTTATTATTTTGTGTCTGATGTACTCAAAACTTTAATGTTACTGTATTGTATAAACTTAATGTTAGGAGTGCAAGCTGTTAAAAAAAAAGTGACATACAGTGTTATATGCAGGTGTATTGGTGGCTATGGCTAACTAACTAGCTTGCTAGCTAATGTTATATTGTTTTTGCTGCTTTGTACATGACAGTTCTGCATTTTGACATATTTCCATGTTGCATTGTGATGGCATTTGACACCCTTAATTCAATTCAATTCAAGTCCAGCAGCCAAGTTGCTGCACTTACCACTTCTCTAATAGCAGTGCAGACTGGCAGGGTAGGAGCACAGCTTGCTAACGTTAGCCCACAGAGCTCCACCAGTAACCTGGTAATGAAGCGGTGTCCTCTTTTGTTTGATGACTTCTTTGATCAATTGATAGTGTAAAACTTAAGTTGTGAACGAATCAGGAGCGTCCATGTTTTTCGATCTCCATCAGATAAATGTCAAATGTCTTACAAGGAGAAAAATGGCAGTCGAAAAATTGGGCATAGCGTTAGTTCAGGCAGGACACAATGTCAAGCTCAGCTCATATCCCAGCTACATTAGCTGATCTCAAGCAGCCCAGTCAACTGATGGGTCAGCTGATTGATGAAGGGAATCAGCTGATATCACATGATTCCTTTCTATGCAACCAACTGGCAAATCTCATTCAGGGCGCCCTATTTAAACTGCTCTGGTCTGCCTAATGTTGCTGCTTCCTCTGCAAGGGGCTTTGCAACCTGCCTCCACGACCATGCTGTGTCTGACTTATCAGTGTCATTTCTGTTTGTCATTGATGCTTACTCTGTTCTGTTCCCGGGGGGCCTTTACTGCTGCTCTTCCTGCCTTAGGCTTTCCATTTAGGCGTGGGGAAGGCAGAAAGGCTCCAGAACAGAGACATACTGCCAAGTATAATACTGCAAATGTAAATAAAGTTGTCTTTGACTAAAACGGCCCTGACTGAAATAAGAAATGGGATTGGACATCATCAAGCACAGGGATTGTAACATTTTTGTACAATTTTATATTATGAAACCATATATTGTTTGCTTTTTTGCGCCAGTTACCAAAAATGTATTTACATTCTGTAATTGTCTCTCCGAATTGTAGTATCCATTCAATAAGTGTTAGTCTTCTTTATTAGCTGCTTAAGCACTGCTAATGTTCTGTAGTTTGAATGAGTGACTCCTGGCTACCCCTAATCCTACTGCCAGCCTGTACATACTGTACACCAAAAGCTGCTACTGTCCACCTGCTATTATTTCATCATGTAGCTAAAGATCATGAAGTAGCTGAAAACAGATGAAGTGGGGCATAAAGGTAACACAATTAATACAGCAAGTTTTGAATGTGATGTTGCTCTCTTTATTTTTATGTTTGCTGTCTGCTGGTGAAGAGGAGTCGCTTATGATTCAATGAACACAGATACCTGTAAAATCTGCTCCCTCATTGCAGTTTTGCTGATCACTTCATGGCAAATGGCAGTTTGTGAGAGCAGCAGCTGCCCTCCCTCTCAGTGGGATGGCTGCTGACGTGTTTCTGTGTAAAACCGTGGAGGCGACAATGGACATTTCTCACTGTCTTTAAGCACCTTAAGAGTTTTTTCTTTTTTCTTTGCTGGTAATCCTTTTCCAGAAGAAGACAACTGGTTCTGCACAAGGTGTCTGTTACTCAGAAGAACAAAGTAAAATATAATGTACCACAGTTGTAGTTGAATTGCAGCACATTAATAGCACCTTCTTGTAACTACAAGTTCTCCTTTTCTGTTTCTTAGGTGGAGAAGGTGATGCCTGCAGACACGTTCTATTTCTCTATCATCAGGGACCCGGTCGCTCTGGCCGAGTCCTCCTTTGCCTATTATAAGGAAGTTGCGCCTGCCTTTCGGAAAGCCAAAAGCTTAGGCGACTTTGCTGATGACCCCAAGAAATACTATGATCCTCGTCTCCGCAATAACCACTACGCTCGCAACCTGTTGTGGTTCGACTTTGGCATGGACCACAATGCTAATTTCTCTGAGGCCCTGGTTCAGCGTGCTGAGGCCATGATCCGCCGAACCTTCAACCTGATTCTGGTGTCAGAGTACTTTGACCAGTCCATGATTCTGCTGAGACACGCCCTCTGCTGGCCACTGGATGCCGTTGTCTCATTCAGCCTCAATGCTCGGCAGCAGAAGCCCAGTAGCGTTGGGGGGATGAGTGGGAGCTGGATGGGTAAAGCAGCAGCGGTAGCTGGTGTTGGTGGTAGAGCGGGACGTTCACAAGCCAAGACACTGACCAATGTAACAGAGGAGCAGCGGGAGAAGCTGCGGGAGTGGAATGCCCTAGACTGGCACTTATATAAAGCCTTCAACCGGACCTTTTGGGGGGAAATTGACAGGTTCGGACATACCCAGATGGAGCAGGAAGTAGCTCTTCTCAGGACACGACGGGAAGATCTGGCCCGGGTTTGTCTCAGGGACGGCGGGAAGCCTGTGGAGGCGCACCGGATCCGGGACAAAAACATCCGCCCATATCAGAGTGGATTGGTGAAGATTCTTGGCTACGAGCTCCAGCTGGGGCTGGATAACGCCACCAGGACGGCCTGTCTCAGGATGATCAGGCCTGAGATCCAGTACAAAGATGTGCTGGATGCTAAACAGTTCCCACGGGCTGCGGCCCAAGCCCAAACTGGGCAGCAGAGCCAGGGCCTGATGGTAGCAGCAGGTGGCTCTCTTTTAAGACAAGACTCATCCAGGACAGCAGAGAGGCCAGTTAGGGGAGAGGCTGGGGGGAGGGCAGTGGAGAGAGACTGGGATGGAAGCCGCTTAGTGAGGAGGAACCAGACCTTGATACGAGACAAAGGAAGATTGAGGTGAGTCTAGCTCCTGAATACGGTACCTTTGGTCTCTGAACAGATGGACTAATGACCTGAAAACTGAGCCAAGTGTGGTTACACATGAGAAAACAAAAAGCTCCTCCTTTGCACTTCCACTTTTTGGTTGTTTGCTTGTTTTCTTAAAAACTGTCTTTGCTTTTAGTTGGTGTAGTTCTTGTGAACTTGATCCTTGACCTCTGAGCGCCTGGGATGCTTTCATGGCAGCAGTAACAGGTTGAAGGAGCGTTATATGTTTAATCTCAACAGAAAGTGAAAGGATCACACGTTTTTATGAGGAGAAACACTCAAAAAGTGTTGGCAGGTACGTTCTGCTTTGCTGTTAATTTATAGACACTCAGAAGCCTGTTTTACTTCCTGCTCATATTAATACTTTTAAGAGTTACGATTTTCAAGTTGTCCTTGGTGCACATGCTAAAAATTTCTCAACATAAAGGTACACTCTAATGCAGTACTGTTACAGTGAGTCACTGAGCTAAGCACCACTTTCTTTAAAAATAAAACCTTGTGGCCATTTCGAAACATTTCACCAGAATCCTCAGAGATTCTTTTAGCAATTTGACTACAGCAGTATTCTGTCTGCTGCACAGTAAACATGATTTTTTTTTTACCTGTTTCCAAAGTTGTGACTGCATTTAATTATCAAAACAAAAGTGGTAACTGGAAATGTCAAATTTCGTGGGTTAGGCCAGTGTAAAAATGTTCATACTGGTTTGACGTTAAGCCAAACATCGGACCGAACCAGTATGCTGAATTTTACCACTAGGTGTTGCACTCAATAGCAGCTCCTGAGTAGAATGACACTGTGTTCTAATATTGAGCGAGCGTCTGACTATTGTATTGCATCATGAACATCGGAGCTCTCAGTACACGTTGAACCAATAAATATGCACTTCTGTTACATCATGTAAACAAAGTAGGTACCTATCAACTGTGCACTGAAGATCAGGTTTATATGGTGTATATATTTACTGGAAATGACATACAACAGCAAGTAGCCTAGTTTGTTATTAGCAATGGTCATTTACCAGAAACTTTTCATTCCCTGGGGATCTCCCTCCAGTCAGCTGTCACCTTATTTTTGTTTATTTTTTTGTAGTAAAATATGAAGCTATTGTGCAGATAATTCCCTCATTTCAGCTTATTATTATGTTGCCGATGTTGAGTTGAAGACTCTTTCCCCATTCTATGTGAGTTTCACCCTACCAAACCTTAAGCCCTAACCCTAACCAAGGAGGGTGTTACACATTAACGGGAGGGTTACACTATATGAAACCGGCGCTCAGCAGTAGATTACACAAAGATTGTTTGACAGTAGCAACTCTGTTAATCCATTTATAAACAAACATAATAATCATGTGATTATATTACTTATTACTAATGCAATACAAGTTAGATTTAGCATCTTGACGCTGTCAGCACAGGTTGGTGATGTAGGCTCCTTTTTAATTTGCCAGAACATGTCATAATGACAACTGCTGGTTCAGCTTGTTTGCATAAAATCAAAGCTTGTGCACCAGACCAGAACTGCTTCGATTCCAAAGTGTTACCGTATTGACACAGTTTGGTTTTCTCAGCGACAAACTCTGCCTTTTGTCATCACCCCAAAAAACACAGTAACTTAAACAAACACAATCTGCACCACTCTTCCACTTCCCAAACAAGGCCAGACTGGCAAAATTGGAAATCGACCCAACTACATAATTCCCAGCTTAATGTACAAAAATTAAAAGTTTTAATTGTCAGTCATACTGTCCTTTCAGTTACTCCATTTTAGACAAAATAATGCATTTTTATTGTATATATTATACAGAATTAGCAGGGAGATGTGTTATTTCTCTCCACCAGATCAAGGAAACAGTTGCAACTTGGAAAATGGGTAAAAAAATATATCGCGCAGTGGATGGAAATCTTTGCGACAAATCTAAATGTTAAACTATCTTTAGACTGCTGGGTATTTTTTTTAAATGCTTGCTAAGCTCTGTGACTCTAAAGCAGTGGTTATACATGAGAGGCACAAATTGGGGTTAGAGTATGTATACAACACTAATTTTCCATTACTGATATGGTTTGTAAAGTCAGTTTAGGCTGGTACTGTGATGGACAAAAAGAATTAGGATTTCTGTCTTGGAAACACTTAGCTCAGCTTCAGTCAGTATTGAGCCCTGTTTAGAACCACAAACCTGAACTGCTTCTTAAATATCTCTTAATAATACAAGAGGGGAAAATGATCCGAGGCCTATTCTCCAGTTCTGATACTCACCAGCCTGCAGGAGGCTGCTTAATGTCAGCATTTGGGCACATTCTTTCCTTCCACTATCTGCTAAAGTATTCATCTGTTTGATACATGCAGACACATTGCCATGGAGATCCATTAATATGTTATGATGTCAGGTATTAGAAATGAAGTTCATATCAGGTTGGGCCAAAATAAATCAAAAAGCAGTTGTGTGTTAAAGAGGCACTCCCTGATTCTTTGTAATGGACAGTAATGTCCTCAACTCCCCAGATTCCCCTGCTGATAGACTCTTGACAATGAGTCAGCAGGTTTATGGGGGAATTTTAGGTTACACACTACAGTTCCAACACTAACGTATATTCTAAGAGGACATCAGTGTCACTCAGGAGCCTTTCTAGCTCCTATGTTTAAAAAAAAATAGAATCAACAATGAAAGCGATGCTCCTAAAAACAGGGCCAACAAAATAAGGAATACATACAAAACCATAACCTTAAAAATTATGTCAGAAACACAACTCATAAGGCAAATATTACCTAAACAGAATTTGAACCATATATATCATTGTCAAATGAGCTGTGATAGGTTTCTTTAACAAATGAGACCATGGCTGAAATGATTTGGATCACCATCTCAGACTTACAGACTCATCTACAGAAAATACTAAATTCTGCTTTAAGTGAGAAGCTCTTCATGAAACTCTTCATCATCCCTGGAGTGTGGCATGTTTATCTGAGTCACATGTTGTGTTACAGCCTGGTGCTGTGTGGTACTTGCTGAAAGCCTGCTGATATTTTATCAGTAACATGCTGCTGCATGAAGATTCAAATGTTGCTACATCTATAACAAAAAAGACACATCTTTACATCTGTCAGGGACACCACAGACAGGTTCTCACTTGATGATCTTGTGCATACCTGCAGTCTGACACAGAATTCCTACATTTGCACATGTGTGTGCTTTCTGACATTGTCTGACTGGTTTTTGACTACACTCAGACACAGTGGTTACATCATGGTATGCAAAATCTTCAGGAGCTCTACAGAGATTCCATGGTTCCCAAAGCAAAATGAATTATACATTAGACTTACAGCATTAAAAGTCAAGTGAAGCCTTGCTCTTTGCTTTCTTTATGTGCGTAGTTTCTAAAGTTTAACTGTACAAAACTCAAATAGAAACATTTTGAAGTTTATTGATCTTCATGTACGAAGTACATTCTGTCTAAAGGAGCAGTGGGCAGCTGTTCTCAAGTATCTGTATTTCTTAACCTGGCTGTCAGTTTGTGTGGTGTTGGAGGAAGGCAGAGCACACAGGAAACCCATGCGAGCGCCTCTCTAGCTGCTCAGGGACTGGATAGCAGACTGTGGTCTGTGCATGAACAGTCAGAGCACTTCAAAGTGAGCCAACTTGTCTGCTGCGGTTTCCACTTTCTGCCGTCAGTCAGTGCAACACGACACAGTCTTTCCTGTGATATGTGAACCCCTCATGCACAGTGATCCAATTTGTTTAAGAGCAATGCAGTCACACCATTTGAGAATGATATTTAGAGATGAATATTTTACAGTGAGCCATGCAGTTTTTGCTTACACCTGTCTGTTAGGATTCAACAGCCAAACATATTTTAAGAACTCTCAGAGTGACGCAAAAAAGAAATGCTCACTGACCCTTTGCTAAGCCCCGTCCCCTTGCAATGGTCTGTCAAGCTGTCGGAGTGAGCATGGAGCCCATACTTTCACTAACTGAACTCCCTCAAGAAATATTATGAAAATTTGGGGGAAAAAAGGTGACTTCAGAGAGAAGCAGATAGAAGAGTGTACAATATGTGTCTGAAGGATATATCCAGGATGTCAAACTCATTCAGCAGCAAAAGCTAAAGATAAAAAAATTAAAGATAAAGATAGCTATTGCTAAAGTCTCCAGGTTACAGTGTAAAAGTGAACCACGGCTAAGTTTAGAACAGTATACCGGTTTTAAGATATACTGTGATATAGAAAATTGACAGTTATTGTACATATACATTTGCTCATCTACGATATTGGGAAAAAACTGCAACTGGACAGAGAATCTCTCAGACAACATTATTTTAGTTATTGTCAAAAGGAATACTTTTTACACATACTTCTATCAACAAAATTGTTTCAAGTTTCAATGAAAGTAATAGAACATTTGTTCAACCAATAATAACCTTTCCATTTTTATTCCTTTAAGGGTCATTCTGATTGGTAATAATAATAATTCTGTAATACCATGATACTGTGAAGCTGTGATATTTTCTGAGACAGTTGTCGTACCATGAAAATCTCATACCCTAACCACCACATCACTGGTAATAAAAACCAAGCACAACAACAATAAAGGGGAACGTTTTCAATTCGATTTTCAACCAGCTGTGTGTCATCGCAGTGTGTGCAGATAAATGGTTTTTGGTTTTCCACCATGCTGCCAGTGCTCAGAGCTCCCAGCCTGTCTGCTGGCGGAGGTCTGGGCACTGGCAGCATAAGAGAAAGCCAAACACCATTCATCTGCACACACTGCAATGACACACAGCTGGTTGAATATCGGCAAAGTTTCCCTGCTTTCCTTCACTGGTTCTTGTAGAGCAGGGTAGATCTTTGTCATCATGCACAGTCATTAAAAGTACCATGTGTGTAACATTTGATTTTGGAACAGGTAAGAATCTTATATCTCCTTCCACAAGGAGCCATACCCCAGGCACAACATTAAGTTCAAATTCCAAAAAAACAGCCTTAAAATGAAGGAAATCTTAAATGATTGCATGAGAGTCTGTGGAGAACAGCTGTGTTGTTGTTGGACTCTTTTTGAAGCTGGCCGATGCTACACTATGATTGGCCAGTCTGCGTTTGAGGGGTGGGACTTAGCAAAGGGTCAGTTAGGCACATTTCCATCAACTGGTCAACTGGTTTAGTGCAAATATAACTCGGATTGCATTGAAGATTGCATTTTGGCCAGTGCGTTCTGCCTCTTTTGCTCTCCACACAAACTGTTTATCTACCACTCAAACGTGATTGGTCAATACCACTTGAACTACAAACAGAAACCAGAATGCTACTAATACCAAAATCTTGTCCTTATTGGCCATGTTTCTTGTTGCCCAGAGACGAAGACAAATTATGTCATTATGGGAATATCTGGGAAAACGCTGACAGCTGGAAAAGCTGATAAGTCATGTTTGTTTAATGTTTGCTACGTGCGCACCTATTCAAACTTCTGCGTGTCAATATCTCATTTTGCGCATCAACTTTTTTTTTTAAAAAAAAAGGCAAAAACCACCACGTGAGCGTAAAAACTTTTTGCACACTTGACTAAGTTTTATTGAATTTTGCAGTTTCCATACTTACATACATTTCTAATGCAATACTTTTCTAATGCACATAAAAGTACATTACAACATGGCTGTTTGCCAAATCACAGTATTCAGTATTGTTAATGCATATTTTGGCACTGTTCACTCTCTACAGCGAATAATTATGTTGAGGGATGCAAGATAGTATCAGTACATCATCGGTATTGACTGATATCGGTTTTAAAATGAGGTATTAGAATTGGCCAACATGCTTTTTCTTTATTTTGCACAAAGAATGAATATTACTTACATTGAAAAGTACTGTATTTCATGTCTCCATCTGCTGGTGGGCCATCATTATGAGAGTATGCATGCATAATATGATGTTAATTCCACTACAGAAGAGACTGATCACTAAAATCAGGTGGGGCTAAAAAGTGGATGTATTGATATCAGTATCAGTTATCAGCCAAATAAGACATTGGCAAAAAATCCAATATCGTGCATCCCTAATTTTGTTGACACTTATCTTGGAAAAGATATTACAGTTTGGAAGAACTGTGGCTGAAATATGTGTTAAAATAGAGTACTGATATCTGAAAATTATATACACCCTCTGACAAATCAGAGCTTAAATTTAGCTAAACGTGGTACAGATCATATTATGCTATTGGATACAACAAGTGTAACTGCTACATATGTAAGGGCATATCTGCCAACATTAAAGAAGTTTAAAAAACACTTGTTGAACATTGGGAAAATTGTAAATGCAGCCACCAAGTCATAGCATTCACACAGAGACATCTTTTGCAGCAAATCCCAACATCACTCCCCATGATACTCAGCTGCAGAGGGTTCAGGTTCACTTATGGAATAGAGGTCTTGAAAGTCTGTCAGAGCTCTGATTGTGTGGCTCTTTAAAACTTCCAACACTGAACATTTGACTGATTGATGCTTACAGTCCCAAACAAAGAGTCCTTCCACTGAACAGCAGAGTGTATTCTCCAACCTGTGCAGTGTGAATGGTGTCACCTTGCAGCAGTCGGCCCTCCGGGGGGGATTGGGTGCACTGCTTTGTGTTTTTATGACTGCCTCCTCTGTTCCTTCCAGTGAAAAGGAGATTGTTAATCAGCTTTTACAGTCACCTAGTTTAGACACTGAGTCGATGGAGATTTAACTCAAATTTAAAATTAAAGGAACAAACCCGTGTGCATTCATCTTCCCTTCCTCCAAAAAAACGTGTAAATTTATTTTCACTATAATTTTAAACTCAACAATTTTTTTCAGTTGCACAATCCCTCATTACAGTGACCATAGTATGGAATATGGAGCCAAACCAGTACTTAACCGTGATCCAAGACCATCACAGGTCATGGTCAATCACAGCCTATTGACAGCGAGTTTTTTAGAAAAAATGTTGCCATTTTACATTTCTGCAAACCACGGATAGATTACATTTGCACATTATTATGTTTGCGTGTTACTATGTTTTGGCTTAAAATACCTGGTTTAGGTGCACAACTCACGCTGAAAAAGTAGTGATATCTTGGTAAAATACATCTGCTTTTCCTGCCACTATTTTTCTGGAAATGCAGTGATTTCTCAGTAAAAAACAACCACTTCTCATGCCACCATCTCTGTTGGAAATGCAGTGATATGTTGGTAAAAAAAAACAAAAACAAGAACTACTTGTCTTGGCACTATCTCGCTAGAAAAGCAGAGATGTCTATAAAATACAACCGCTTTTCATGGCACTACCCTCGCAGGAAAAGCAGGACTTTCTTGATAAAAAATAACTGCTTTTAATGCTGCTATCACTACGGGGAATGCAGTGATGTCTCGGTAAAAAAACAACTGCTTTTCATGGCACTATCACTGCTGGAAATGCAGTGATGTCTCGGTAAAATACAGCAGCTTTTCACAAGACTATACCTGCTGGAAATGCAGCTATGTCTGTAAAAAACAGCTGCTTTTCTTGGCACTATCCCTGCTGGAAATGCAATGATGTCTGTTAAAAACTATCGCTTTTTGTTCCACTATTACTGCCGGAAAAACTGCAATGACCACCACAAAACTCCCATGTTAGGTGCCTAAAAAATACTAGAAACACAGCATAAAATAAACAAACAGTTTTGTTGTTTGTTGGTTGCAAACATTGCTCTGCAGTTTGGCAGCCGTCTAGACCAAGTGACCTATCCCCTCTACCTCCAAAAGACAAAGTCAGCTCATATACTACGTCACTTTAGAAACATTGATATGATAGGTATGAAACGTAAATGTAAGGTATTTATGGTTTGCAGAAAGCGTATAATAACATTTTTAAAAAACCTGCTTATAGTCTTCTTTTTTTAACATAACATTTTTCTTAAGGATCCCTTATATTTTGATTATTAGATAATTGTGACTATTTTATCAAAACATGTTTAAATTTACATGTCTTTATTTCCTCTAGTGCCACCATGAGGACAATAACAGACTCCACAGGCTTGTATTATAATGGAGAACGGGACTAAACCTAGTAGATGTTTGCTGTTCTAGGCCACCACTGTTTAATGAACACTAATGCACAGAACAGTCACAGACAGAGAGACACAATAGTGTTTTTTTCATGCTTTAGGATGCAGTCTTATTATGGAGCAGGGCTTTAAAACAATACCCTTCTGTATTTGTTATTCTATTTGCCATTTGTACATACTGTATTTATCAGGGTTTCTTTTCTTAAGAGGTTAGTGATGATAAGGGGAAAGGGTGTATCTGTCACAGTATGATGGAATTTATTATTGACGTTGATGAGAAAACAAGGAATATGCACACACCCCGGTGTTCAGTCAGTGTTGAAACACTGAAATGCAACTCAGTTATTATGGCTGGGTATTTTCAGTATTCAGAGTCATTTATTAGGTATTCTCATCCACTGTTCGTATGTATACCTATCAAAAGCAATGCAGCAGAATTGTTCTTTAACCTACATACTTGCAAAGGATGTGACTTTGCCCGAGACAGGTGGTTGTGTCCCGTCTGAAACCAAGTGATTTTAGAGTTATTTTAAGGTACTTAAAGGTACTTTAAGGTCACTTAATGTTAAGTATGTAACTTTACGTTAAATACAGAGCATAATTATGACCAACCATGTATCTTTTCCTTAACCTAACATTTGTAACTTTACTTCCCTAAACCTAATTTACAAAACTTTAAGTGAAGTATGTACATCACATACTTAATATAAAGTTATGTGGAGTTTACGTGAAATATATAAATTTGTTAAGTAAGTTTTTTTAACCTAACCTACACAACTTTACTTTACTAGCCCTAATCTACAGAATTTTCCATTTGGTACATATGTGTCATACTTAACGCAAAGTTACATCACAGAACAGAATTTTATGTGAAGGACACACTCAAACATGATTCTTTTCCTTACCATTATAACTTAACCTTTGTAGCCTTACTTTCCTAAACCTAAGCTACATTTCTTTATGCTAGTTACATAACTTTACATTGAGTACGTAACATGATGACACCCAACCATGATTCTTCTCCTTACCTTAGTAACTTTACCTAACCTATATAGCTTTACTTTCCTAAACCTAACCTACATTGCTTTATGCTAAGAACGTGACTTCACGTTAAATACGTAACGTGCCGACACCCAACCATGATCCTTTTCTTAACCTAATCCAACCAGTAAGGACAGTAATTTGTTGGACACTAATTTGTTAGATATCATATGAACCATTGTATGTGGTTACATCACATTTATTGATCTCACTTGATGATAAGCATGATTTCATGATTATATCATGCTGTTGTTTTACAAAATGTTATCATACACATTTAGAATTTTAAAAGATTGCAGTGAAAGAAATTACTTATTAATAACACAGGTAATAACACATGGCACTAGAACAATTCATCACCCTGAATATAAATTATTTCAGATGGTAATATATCTCAGAACAACACAATGATTACGTGTTGATCTCCAGATAATGCCTCAAAATGATCAGTAACCACCGCCACACAATTATCTCGTAATCACAAGATAAAGTTTATAAATATTATCTCTTAAATATCTTTTATCGGGTATTTGAGATAAAGATCTCATAATTAGAAAACATTTTTGCTCCACTGAAGACATTTTCCTGTAATTATGAGAATTTATGTCACAAGTAAGGACACAGAGGTCATAAGTATATATAATTACGGTTACAATGTGTTTCCATACACACTGTGTACACACATCCCCACTTACACTCCCAATCACACAAACAAACTAAAAACGGTGCTTGATTTTCATGCCTGTCTTCCCACACACTTTGTTTCTTCCAGGGGGAATGTGGTTAAAATGTCAATACTGATATGGTACTGTGACTTCTTTTCTAGCTATTTACTAGTATCAGAGATTTCATAAGTGAACATGTATGTTACATAGTGTGTCAGAATAAAAGGTACGTCTTATGTCAAACCATTTAAATGTCAGTTTTCAGAGGTCAGAATGAGCAGAAGGTCTGGTACACAGTATGATTCATCTTTTATCACTCCTTTTGAATAGCTAACATCCCTGTTCTAATATTCACACAACACTGGGCTGTTATTGACAGGACACGCTTTATTGATTGGGGATTCTCTCAAGCTGTTACAGATTTCACTGTACTGGAAGTGCAAGAGTTTGTTCAGAAAGCAACAGTGTACTTTGGATCTTACTTGAAAATGTTCTCTTTTTTTGGTGAGACTTGTACTAGATCACGCTCTTTGTGTGCATCCTTTGAGTTTTTTTTCTTGTACTGAATAAAGCAACATTTCTTGAACTTCACCAACTTGTCTCCCTGATTTCACGTTGATTACCAACACTGAACTTTCAGTTTGCCGCTGTATTTGAAAACAGTTGTATGAAGCCTGTGTGGCTCAAAAAGGAGCTGAGAAATGTACTCATGTGACTTTTATTTCTTCTGGTACATCTCAGAGGAAAATATTGTAATTGTTTATGTGGCATCTGTAGTTATATTACCAGATTCATATTTTGCATACTTAACATGATCAGCTCTCAGAATATGTTACTTAATGGCATAAGTATATGACATATAATTGTTTAATACATAGGCCAAATAGCTCCACCTGATCAACAAGAGGGGTGTAAATTGATTAATAACAATAACAGTATAACACTATAAAACAAGCCATTGCTCATAATGAACACTTTTACATGAATAGGCTACTTTAAGTACAAATGGTTAATTACACTCACTTGTTCTTCACTAGAATTTTGAATGCAGGACTTCAACTGGAACTCGAGTGTTTTTACATTACACTTTACATAAAATTGATTCAAAACATAGATCAAATGGAGGAAGTTTTACATCAGTCTTGGAGATCATGTGTCTGAGAAACAACCTCTGTTGTTGGGTTGCACAAGGGAGCTGCCTTGGTCCATTATTATTCTTACTGTACATGCTGTTACCTGGTGACATCATTAAAGACAATGTTTGTTTCCATAGTTACGTAGATGACACACAACTGTACATCTCCACTGAACCAAATTGTGCTGCAGTCATAAACTCCGATGAGCAATCATTTTTTAAGTTAAATGAGGACAAAAGTGAAATCCTGCTTGTTGGCCCTAAAAAAAGAGAAATGCTGCTTAATAATCTGGGGAATTTCACTCCCTGGATTAAATCTGGGGTGACAAGTGATAATAGATTCATATCTAAGCTTCAAGTCCCGCATTAACAAGTTGATGAAAACATAATTTTTACACCTCAGAAACATAGCTAAGACCATTTTAAAATGAAAAAGATGCCAAGAAATTGATTCATGCCTATATTTCAAGCCAACTTGACTACTGTAATGACCTTTTTTACTGGCCTCCAAAAAAAACACCAACTCCACAGCCCAACTATAAACCACAACCAAAAGGAGAGAGCACATCAGGCCAGCCTTAGCTGCTCTGCACTGGCTTCCTGTTAAATTTAGAATTGATTTTAAGGTCCTCTGCCTTGTACACAAAGCCCTAAATGGGCTTGAACCAAGCTACATTGCTAACTTCCCTGTTAACTACTTGCCTCCAAGAATACTACAATCATCTTCTGCTGGTGTATTGGAGGTTCCCAGCAACAGCCGGAAGAAGATCAGGGATGCAGCCTTTGCCACTCATCCCACAGTTATGGAACAGATAGATATCAGGGAAGCTAGCTTGTTTAATACTTTAAAAAAAAAAAAAAAAGCTAAAAACATGTCTGTTTACTTTAGCCTTTAACTAGCTCTGACTTCTTATACAGGTATGAAACTCTCTTTTTTGCTTCACGCTGCTGCAACTTTTAAAAAATGTTGTATCTTACTTAATTTGACTTTTTATGATTTATTATTTCATCTTATGAATCTTTTTTTATTTTAAGATTTACTAATCAGTTAATCCTTGTTTTAAATTGTTTTTAAATGCCCTTTTATATTGAATTGCCTTGTTTGTCTGTTCTATTTTCATGTGAAGCACTCAGTGCTGATAATGTCCTTGTTGTAAAGCACTTTATGCTGCATTTTTTGTATGAAGGGTGTTATATAAATAAAGTTTATTATCATAATTATTACTGTTATTACAGTATTACTTTTTCTACTCAAGAAAAGAATTTTAATTCCAGTCACAGAATGTACTGTGATGTCACCCACTGGTTCGTGGACTCCATAAATCTTTAATAATAACGGATTACTGTTAATTTATTATGTTGATCTGTTCTGTACGACATCTATTGCACGTCTGTCCGTCCTAGAAGAGGGATCCCTCCTCAGTTGCTCTTCCTGAGGTTTCTACCGTTTTTTCCCCCGTTAAAGGTTTTTTTTGGGGGAGTTTTTCCTTATCTGCTGTGAGGGTCCTAAGGACAGAGGGATGTCGTATGCTGTAAAGCCCTGTGAGGCAAATTGTGATTTGTGATATTGGGCTTTATAAATAAAACTGATTGATTGACTGAACTAGATACTGTACACTAAGATGGAGCCTATTCATTTCAGTGGAGTTGCTTGCAAGGCGCATCCGCCAAAAAAGTTTTCTAGCTTCCTGGTTTACTTCCTTGATATGCAGCTCACTGAATATGAATATCTCTGATATGAGCTTCTCCTGCTGGCCCTGTCCACGAGATCTCACCCGGCTCAAAAACTTTATATTGTAATGACATCACAGATTCTTAAATTGCTTTTCTCTGCTCTAAGAAAGTTTACAAATATAAAACCACCATGCATAAAAAATTCAGAATAGAAAAAGCTATAACTGACCTTGTTTGCAGTTCAAGGTATCCTGTCAACAGTTTTACAGACCTCTCTTTTACAATAGTGGTCTATGGGGAAAATGCTTTTTGGGCCACAGGAAGATTTTTCTCTGCAATAGAGGCCACTGGGAAAAACTGGCTGCAAGGCTGAGTGGCTTTGCTGGTGGACTTCCATTTTGAAGCCCCAGGTTCAGCATTCAGCCATTGCCATATTGGTTTCTTGGAGCCAGAGGTGGCTGTATTTGGGTGAGAGGGTGCACTGAGGAGGAGCTAGGGGGTGGATCTGACTGAGAAGCAGAGGACACTATTGGCAGACAGCCCGTCACTCAAAGCGGCCCTGTCCTTAATTATGCGTAACTTTGAGCCTTAATATGTAAACAGGTGAGTTATACAATATACTTCATTTTCAGCCCTGCAGGTTGCTGCTTGATCACCACAGGTAAAATCACAATAACACTGTACAGGTCTAGTGTGAAGGCTGAGGTTGCAGAACTGAAACTTCTTCTGTGTGCCAAGCGTGTCGGAGAACTGCAGTGGCTGACACAAAAACGCAAATGGCCTTATTTAGAGTCACTGTTTGATTTGTCTGTTCTGGGTTACTGTAGAAACAACATAGCAGACTCTGGGGTAAAGGACCTGCTCTGTATGTAGATACAAACAGCTTATTCTAAGGTTACAAAAACTCAATATTTCTTATTTTCAGGTGATTATGAAAACATAGTATGAATATTATATACCATGGGTCTTCAACAGGGCGTCCATGACCCCTAGGGCATCATCACAGTTACTTTAGGGGGGTCACACAGACCTCCATATCATAGCCAACAGTACCCTGACTGCTGGTACCAGGATGAAAAACGAAGACCTATATTTCTGCCAATAGATGCCCCTGAATCCCACACACTGTTCCTTTAAGACCTGGTTTGACAATATTTTCAGGGGTTTTCCATTTGTATTATGTTGTTTCAGTCATTCAGTCAATGTTTTTTGTTAATCACTGGTTCAACCGTACAGTACACTGAACCTCTTCATCTGCACTGCGCGTAGTTGCTGACAGTTTGGGCTCTGCTCTGTGCTCTGCTTTCTGCTGATTGATTAGTATGGTCTGGAGAAAGCTCTGTTTCGATTAGCCATTCTGTTGTTTGTATTACTACCTGCTACTGATAAACGGAAGCTCAGCGGCCAAGATGAATATCAATGGTCTCAACGTTACTTTAATCCTGTTATTGGCGGTAGCAACCTTATTAATGTGTTGTAGTTAGATAGTTTTTGTGAAACACTGACACACGGTCCTTTTTACCATTAATGAAAGGACCGTGGCACTCGAGTCTCGCTTTGTTTACACTGCAGCAGATGGTTAACGGCGTAGATTAGCTACTTTGCTACGTGCAGTAATAATGGAATCCCAATGTGAGTATGTCATGTACTTTCCCGCCGCTCCAATATCGAGTCTGTCAGACCCGGCGCAGTATACAACTCTTCCGCGGCGAAAGCACGTCTACCTCGGGGAGGTGGTCCAGTTCCTGCTGGTCCTGCGGTCTCGGACCGCGGCGGGGAGGAGGGATGACAGCTCCGGTGTTTTACCCTGGAAGGACCTGGCTGGTTCTCTCTTAGCTGTGGCGAGTGTGAGCGTCGCCGAGAGCCGGCAGCAGAGACCCGACGAGTACCAGCCAGACATACAGAGCACCTGCAGTGAGGACGAAGGAGGGGAAGAGGAGCCCGGGGAGAGGGAGAGCGAGCGGACTTTCAGACAGTGCAGCCCGCATCTCATTCACAACAGCTCGGCTAGTGATGGGCGGCAGCATGGAAGGGAACCGGTGAAGGTAAAAAGGATAAAGAAAAGGAGTAGTTAAGAAATGTCATAGAAACGGGTTTGTATTAAAGCCAAACCAATGACTTTTTGGACAACTGTCAATACACTGTCCTACAGGAAGTAACCTTTACATATTTCCTGAGTTGAGATGAAACCACACCACAGTCATTATACACTTCCTTTCTCCACTGACTGACCTTAACTCCTCTGTTTGATCTGATACTCTCTGAGGCAGAGCAGGCTTTGCTCTGCTTGCAATAATCTTTGTGCTCCAGATGTGCACAGACTTGACAGTGCAATCTTGTCTTCAGGGGGTTTATTTAAAACTGTTTAAGTCTCCACGTCTGCCTGCCAGGCTGCAGGCAGGGAGGAGATCTCCACATACTGAAGACTTCACAGATGACACTGCAGGCTGCAGCAGTTTAACACACTGCAACAGTGACTGCACTGCTCTGTAAATGGCCAGGTACAGAACCTCAGTACCTACTGGGTGCCAACCAAATTGTGTCTGTTTAAGTTGGTATTTTAAACCTCAAAGTACTTTACTTAAAGGGAAATATTCGATCATCCAACTGTCTCAGACGCAGGTTTGTTGGAAATTATCCCTTGAGTCTTTAAAAAAAAGATCCTGCAAGCTGCTCTTGGTCAGCTTCATCATTTATTGGATATATACACACCTTCAGGTACCAAATGCCTGGTCAGAGGTGGACCATTAGGCGATTATAGTAACATGTACTGTATGTCTACTCTAACTTCAAAATATGCTCTAAGTGCAGTAATATTATAGAGCTCTATGATAGAGCTGAACAATTAACTGGGCGGTAGAAAGTTGGGTGGCAACCATTCTCATAACAGATTAAGAATTCCAGTCATTTTTCCAGCAAAAATGTTGATCTCTGGTTGCAGTTTCTGTGAGGATTTGCTGCATCCTTTGAACTGTTGTTTTAACAAAATAATAAATTTGATAATGTCTCTTTGGGCTCTGGGATGGACTTTTTTGTTGTTGTTGTTATTTTATAGACCAAAAAATTAATTGAAAAATATTAGATAGTTAAAGGCTAAGCTTGGTATATTTCAACCAGGACCCTATTTTCCCATGTTTTTGATTCCCATGATTTGGCAATGGGGATGTCAGGGCTGTTTCTGGTTGAACAAAAGGGTCTTAATCTTTAACAAAAGGTCCATCTCTGTAGGGATCATTTCCATAACATTATCAGACACTTAGAAGAACAATCTAATCCTGTCAGTGGCAAAAACACTTATAGTGGATGTACATTGATGATGTGAATGTGCCCCAAGTAGTTACATTGCACAGTTTCATATTGATTGATTGATTGATTGATTGAGATGTTTATTTCGAATATGATGCAATAATAAAAGGAAAATAATAATAAACAATATGAAAAAGAAAGAAAGAAGAAAAAAAATAAAATAAAATTTAAAAACATATTGAATCCAATAAGAAGTAACATAAATCAAACAATACGCATATCTGAAAAGGAGTGAGAAGAAGTAAAACTTATTTACTCCCACCCCTTCTCCCTAACATAATAAATAACAATAACAATAACAACCTCCCTACCTAGTCTAAACCAAAGTATCCATTAATGTCCTGTTTTAATACGTACAGCAAGAACATATTATATATAATACACATATAGACATACACCTGTATATACACATATATATACATACAGTACAGGCCAAAAGTTTGGACACACCTTCTCATTCAATGCGTTTTCTTTATTTTCATGACTATTTACATTGTAGATTCTCACTGAAGGCATCAAAACTATGAATGAACACATGTGGAGTTATGTACTTAACAAAAAAAGGTGAAATAACTGAAAACATGTTTTATATTCTAGTTTCTTCAAAATAGCCACCCTTTGCTCTGATTACTGCTTTGCACACTCTTGGCATTCTCTCCATGAGCTTCAAGAGGTAGTCACCTGAAATGGTTTTCCAACAGTCTTGAAGGAGTTCCCAGAGGTGTTTAGCACTTGTTGGCCCCTTTGCCTTCACTCTGCGGTCCAGCTCACCCCAAACCATCTCGATTGGGTTCAGGTCCGGTGACTGTGGAGGCCAGGTCATCTGCCGCAGCACTCCATCACTCTCCTTCTTGGTCAAATAGCCCTTACACAGCCTGGAGGTGTGTTTTGGGTCATTGTCCTGTTGAAAAATAAATGATCGTCCAACTAAACGCAAACCGGATGGGATGGCATGTCGCTGCAGGATGCTGTGGTAGCCATGCTGGTTCAGTGTGCCTTCAATTTTGAATAAATCCCCAACAGTGTCACCAGCAAAACACCCCCACACCATCACACCTCCTTCTCCATGCTTCACAGTGGGAACCAGGCATGTGGAATCCATCCGTTCACCGTTTCTGCGTCTCACAAAGACACGGCGGTTGGAACCAAAGATCTCAAATTTGGACTCATCAGACCAAAGCACAGATTTCCACTGGTCTAATGTCCATTCCTTGTGTTTCTTGGCCCAAACAAATCTCTTTTGCTTGTTGCCTCTCCTTAGCAGTGGTTTCCTAGCAGCTATTTGACCATGAAGGCCTGATTCGCGCAGTCTCCTCTTAACAGTTGTTCTAGAGATGGGTCTGCTGCTAGAACTCTGTGTGGCATTCATCTGGTCTCTGATCTGAGCTGCTGTTAACTTGCCATTTCTGAGGCTGGTGACTCGGATGAACTTATCCTCAGAAGCAGAGGTGACTCTTGGTCTTCCTTTCCTGGGTCGGTCCTCATGTGTGCCAGTTTCGTTGTAGCACTTGATGGTTTTTGCGACTCCACTTGGGGACACATTTAAAGTTTTTGCAATTTTCCGGACTGACTGACCTTCATTTCTTAAAGTAATGATGGCCACTCGTTTTTCTTTAGTTGGCTGATTGGTTCTTGCCATAATATGAATTTTAACAGTTGTCCAATAGGGCTGTCGGCTGTGTATTAACCTGACTTCTGCACAACACAACTGATGGTCCCAACCCCATTGATAAAGCAAGAAATTCCACTAATTAACCCTGATAAGGCACACCTGTGAAGTGGAAACCATTTCAGGTGACTACCTCTTGAAGCTCATCGAGAGAATGCCAAGAGTGTGCAAAGCAGTAATCAGAGCAAAGGGTGGCTATTTTGAAGAAACTAGAATATAAAACATGTTTTCAGTTATTTCACCTTTTTTTGTCAAGTACATAACTCCACATGTGTTCATTCATAGTTTTGATGCCTTCAGTGAGAATCTACAATGTAAATAGTCATGAAAATGAAGAAAACGCATTGAATGAGAAGGTGTGTCCAAACCTTTGGCCTGTACTGTACATGTACATACACGTGCACCAACATACACATACCCATATGCACTGCATACATGCAGACATACATAACACATAGACCATAGATACATGTACATGCATTCACATATACATGTACACATGCACAAAAAAAGAACAGAGACCCGAGAATAACTACGTGAATAAACAATACCCCTATAACACCTGGTGATTTCCAACACCTCCCTCTTCCCTGTACCTCTTGAAAATGATGTTTTTGTACATTATTTTAAACTGTTTAATGCTTGAACACTGCTTAAGTTCCATAGTAAACCCATTCCATAGTCTCACCCCTCTGACTGAGATGCAAAAACTTTTCCTGGTGGTTCGAATTAAGTTAATTTTAAAATTGAATTTTCCCCTTAAATTATAACCCCCCTCCTGGTCACTGAATAATTTCTGTACATTTTTTGGTAGTAAATTATTTTTAGCTTTGAACATTATTTGTGCCGTTTGATATTCAACAATGTCTGTAAACTTAAGTAATTTTGACTGTATGAATAATGCATTTGTGTGTTCCTGGTAACCAACTTTGTGAATAATTCGTATAGCTCTTTTTTGAAGAATAGTTAGAGGAGATAGCGTGGTTTTATAGTTGATGCCCCAAACCTCAGCACAATACTGTAAATAAGGTGAGACTAAAGAACAGTATAAGGTGAGGAGTGATTTCTGATCTAAAACCATCTTTGCTTTGTTTATTATTGCAATGCTTCTTGCGACTTTAGTCTGTACATGTTTGATATGTGATTTCCAGCTAATTCTGTCATCTATAATTACTCCCAGAAATTTAATTTCATTAACTTTTTCAATTTCAACTCCATCTATTTTTATCATGACCTGTGTATTCATTCTACAATTACCAAATAACATTATTTTTGTCTTATTCAAATTTAATGACAACCTGTTTCTGTCAAACCACAATTTTAGTTTCTTCATTTCTTTAGTGATGTACTCTTGTAATTGTTGTAAGCTGTCCCCAGAGCAAAAAATATTTGTATCATCCGCAAAAAGAACAAAATGCAATAACTGAGAGACTTAACAAATATCATTTATGTACACAATGAAGAATTTAGGGCCCAATACTGACCCCTGGGGGACACCACAAGTAATTCCCAAACATGATGAGGAGCAGTCACCCAATCTCACAAACTGCTGTCTCCCACTTAAATAACTTTTGACCCAGTCAAGCACTATTCCCCTAACACAATATCTTTCCAGTTTGCTAAGTAAAATATCATGGTTGATTGTGACAAAAACCTTTTTCAAATCAATAAATATCCCAGCAGCATATTGTTTATGGTCTATAGCATTTGTGATTTCTTCTATTGCTTCTATTATTGCTAGTGAAGTTCATCTGTTTGACTTGAACCCGTATTGATTCTCTTCAAGTATGTTGTGCTTTTCCAAAAATGTGTCCAGTCTGCTGTTGAAGAGTTTTTCTAGTATCTTTGAAAATTGTGGCAGTAAAGAGACAGGTCTATAGTTCGTGAAATGATGTCTGCTCCCAGTTTTGTACAGAGGTATTACTTTAGCAATTTTCATTTTATTTGGAAATGAACCAGTTTGAAATGATAAGTTGCAGATGTAAGTTAATGGTTTCAAAATGCCGTCAATTACCTTTTTCACCAGTGACACATATGAACATAGGGGCCAGGGTTGAAAAATACCAAACTCACGCTTTTATTAACCAATGATGACAGTAATTGTCCCGCTTGTTGATGATCTGTATGCTGATTTATTTCACATATTGTCACCAAAACAAACACTCAATGAAACTCTGTGTCATTGATCTCTAGCATCTTGTCTCTTGCTTGTCCTCCCACAGTCTGCTCTGGTGCTAGATGACCAGGTTATCTTCTGTCTCACTGTCTCTTTGGACAAGCTGCCAGTCAACACACTTAAAGCCAAGGTCAGACAGTATGCACCGGGAAGAGAAAAATGAAGGTCAACAGCAAGATGATTCTGACTTTACTGTGTTTGTCTTACTCTCTGTGTTGTCAGATTATAGTGACTGTGTGGAAGCAGGAGGAGGAGAAGGTGGAGGTGAGGGAACATGGCTACCTCACTCTTCTGCAGCTCAGGAGTCCAACACACACCTTCAGACAGGACCTCAACACCTTCAAGGCACAAGGTACACACACTCTGTTTCTCTCAACACAGGACCCAAAGAGTTTGAAACAGTTTGTGGTATAAAACCTGGAATTTATGAGGTTGTAGGGCAGCATAATTCTGGGGAATAAGATAAGATAAGATAAGATAAGATAAGATAAGATAAGATACACCTTTATTGATCCCTGACTTACAAAATCAGATGCAGAGTCCCTGCTTTAACTGTTGTGTCTGCGTCTTGTTTCTGTTCCCAGTTAGCACCATCCTGAATGTTCTTCCACCGCCTAGCGTGCAGTGTCAGCTCATGGCTGTCTCTGGAAAACACCTGACTGTCCTCAAAGGTAGACCAGCAGCTCACACTCACTCCGGCAGATCTTTAAATATACGCTCCTTGCCAACTTTTCCCTCCCCCTCATCTCTCCTCAGTGTTGAACTGCAGCTCTCAGGATGAGGTGTGTGTCAAAGATGTGAAGATTCTGCCCAACTATAACTCGTCCTACCTCCCCATGATGCCAGATGGTTCAGTTCTCATAGTCGACAATGTCTGGTGAGTACTTCTACACTATACTCTCAGAATAAAACTTCCGTAAGCAGATGGACATTTGGTCTATGTACATATACACAAATACCAAGCTGGTCTAATGTATTGAAAATGCTTGGCATGGTTACACATACTGAACATATATTCTCACATCCCGCCCTCACTGCAATGCAAGAAACTGCAGCCCACGCTTTATTCACTTTAAAGGAATATGCTGCCAAAATTGTATCTTTTATACCAAAAACTCCCCATATGTAGTCTGATAAGGTTGCTCTGTAAAGTTTGAACAACAGCCGTATATGACTTCCTTCCCTCTACAACCCCGATTCCAAAAAATTTGAGCCGCTGTGTAAATACAAACAAAATGCAATAATTTGCAAATCCTGTTTGACCTATATTCAAATGGATACAGTACTAAAACAAAATATTTGATGTTCAAACTGATAAACGTGATTGTTTTTATTCCTCCACGCCAGTGATTACTGGGGGATTATGTTTTTAGGTTGTCTGTCTTTCCGTCCCACCCTTGTGAATATGATATCTCAAGAATGCCTCAAGGGAATTTCCTCAAATTTGGCACAAAAGTCCTTTTGGACTCAATGATGAACTGGTTAGTTTTTGGTGGTCATAGGTCAAAGATCAAGGTCACTGTGACCTTATCTGTCTCATTCTCATGAATGCAATCTCTCAAGAACAGTTTGAGGGAATTTCTTAAAATTTGGCACAAACGTTCACTTGTACTGAAGAATAAAGTGATAAGAATTTTGTGGGCAAGGGTCAAAGCTTAAGGTCAGTGTGACCTTGCATCTTTGTCATTCTTGTAAACACAATATCTCAAGAACATCTCAAGGGATTTTTTTTTTAAATTGACACAAACGTCCACTTGGACTGAAGAATAAACGGATTAGAATTTTGTGGTAGAAGGTCAAAGGTCAATGTCAGTGTGACCTCACAAAATATCTTTTTGGCCATAACTCAAGACATCATGTGCTAATTAAGACAAAACTTCACACAAATGTCTAATAGGATAAAATAATGAAAGGTCAAAGTTCAACGTATTCAACGTCATAACTCATGAAAGAAGGGAAGACATCTGATCAGATACTTACTTGGTGACACTAATATTGGGTGCACACCTTGAAACTGTGCTGATTGTATAGATCTGTTTTCACAGACATGGATGTAAACTGTAAATGGCTGGTGCGCAGAGGTATACAATTACGGGTTGGTAATTCTCATTTGTAAATGTACACTCATTCTGAATTCTGTCCAAAAAAGTTTGGACTATGGTTGCAGCGATATACCAGTTTCAAAGCATACCGTGCTATAATTACCTTGTTATCATACCCTGTACATTTGCTTATCTGCGATATTGTAAAAAAAAAATTCAACTGGATGTTGAACCTCCCCTTAATTATAGTTACTAGTCCATACCCATTGGTGGCTTTGTCACCTTCTACCTATGCCAATCCTCAGTGTCTATGTGCAGTTTTACATAGATTAACCACGTCAATGAGTAGAAAAACGTGGGACAGACAGAATGACTGACTGACTGACAGAATGACACACTGACAGTTTCCGTGATTATGTACAGCATACCATATCATGACCAAAACTTAGTAAAAAATCAAAACATTCGGCCACAGGGGGAGCCACAGCGATCGGTCGCATTTTAGCCATTTTTAAGCATTTTTCTGTTGTTATAGCACCACCCAGTTGCCAATTAGAGTTAAATTTCTCCAGTCACCTTGTTCTACATATCTACCAAGTTTAGTAAAAATCCATATGGCGGGTAGGCCTAGATAGGAAATTAGCTCTCTAGCGCCCCCATTTTGTTTGATCGGGTCAATAATGGAGGGGTCCTCTCAGATTATGTGTGGTCATATGCCTACAAAGTTGCGTGGTGATCGGTGAAACCCTTGAGATGTTATACACCTTTATGTGATGAGCCACGCCCTCCGCAATATTCATTCAAAGTTTTCCAACTTTTGCCAAGAGGGAACTTTAGATATTGGTCCCTAGATTATGTTCACCGAGTTTCATGCAGATCGGTCAAACTTCCTAGGAAGAGATCAATTTTAACTGTTTTTCAAAAAATTCAAAATGGGGGCGTCGGTGGTTTAGTGGATAGAGCAGGCACCCCATGTACAAGGCTGTTGCCGTAGCGGCCTGGGTTCGACTCCAGCCCATGGCCCTTTGCTGCATGTCATTTCCCCTCTCTCTCTCCCCCCTTCACGCTTAACTGTCCTATCTGTAAAGGCAAAAATGCCCCCAAAAAATCTTTGAGAAAAAAAAATTCAAAATGGGGAAGTTATTTGTTCCTCATGAGGAGAGGCACCTCTGTGCAAATTTTCATGTCTCTACGAAATACGGGGCATGAGATATGCCCATTCCGTTTGCAATTTCAGTTGGTTGCTGTAGCGCCCCTCCTTTGGCCAATTGATGTAATATTGCTTCATTCGCATCCTCCCATGACCCTCTACCACTGTGCCAAATTTCACATGGATTGACCAAGTCAGTGAGGAGAAAAACGTGGAACAGACACACAGACAGACAGAGTTTTCGTCATTATAGAGTAAGAGAAGATATTCTAGGGGAGACACATACTTTATACATACTTCAATGAACAAAATGGTTTCATACTTCAATTATAGTAATAAAATGTTTGTTCAGCCAAAAATAGCCCTTCCATTTTCATTCCTTTATGGGTCATTCTGACTGATAATGATATAAATTCTGTAAAATCATTATACTGTGAAACTGTGCTATTTTCTGAGACTGTTATCATACTGTGAAAATCTCATATGATTGCAACCCTACGAAGGACAGAGTCCTTCCTTCATGGAATTTTCATGGATGCATGTGTGTATCCTCAGTGGACATGAAGTACCCACAATTCTTTGCGTATGATTTGCTGGAATTAAAGGCGAGCCTCTTCAATGACGCACACCTGGGCATTCACTAGCCTGTTCCAATGTGTGTTCACCAAATGCTAGGATGGAATTTTGCCTAGCCTCTGTATGATCTGACTTGGAAGGACCCGTCCTATCAAGGAAGCATCCTTGACTTTGAAAAATCACTGATTGTGTCTTCATAGATGTGCCAGTTACCCATGATGCCATGGGTACTAACACACCTCCATACATCACAGATGCTGGCTTTGAATTTTGAGCTGGGAACAATCTGGATGGTCCTTTTCCTCTTTAGTTTGAAGGACATGATGGCCATGATTTCCAAAAACAATCTAAAATGTGGACTCGTCAGACCACAGCACACTTTTCCACTTTGTGTCAGTCTAGTCTTAGATGATTAGTATTTAATTAATATGATGATTATTCTGTACACATGACATGTATTGCATGTCTGTCTGCCTTGGGAGAGGGACCCCTCCTCAGGTGCTCTTCCTTAAGTGTTTTCTTTACCTGCAAAGGGTCAAAGGACAGAGGGTGTACAGATTGTAAAGCCTCTTGTGGCAAATTTGTCATTTGTGATATTTGGCTGTGTAAATGTAAATGTAACTGACTTGACTATATTATTCTTATGCTCACAGCAGCTATGATAGAGTGGTAATCCTGAGCAATGGCAAAAATGCATAAATGAATAGTTTCAAAACATCCTTGGAAACTTCTCATATCCCTTCTGCAGCATAATCAACCTCCCCACTGTGATCTCATAGTGTGGGCACCCCCGGTGATTTTTTTATTTTTTTACTGTGTATAGCTAAGCAAGTAAAAAAAGAAGAGCAGATTTCACAAAAGGCAAAAAGTTAAAGATGACACATTTCTTTAATATTTTAAGCAAGGTTACTTTTTTATTTTAATCTTTCACAGTTTCAAAATAACAAAAAAAGGAAAAGGGCCTGAAGCAAAAGTTTTGGTACCCTGCATGGGGGTCTAGCCATCTTGCATGCACTGCAAGGGGGGTCTAGCCATCTTGCATGCACTGCTCTTTTGAGGTCTATCCACAGATTTTTAATGATGTTTGGGTCGGGGGACTGTGAGGGCCATGGTAAAACCTTCAGCTTGCTCCTCTTGAGGTAGTCCATGGTGGATTTTGAGGTGTGTTTAGGATCATTGTCCCGTTGCAGAAGCCATCCACTCCTCATCTTCAGCTTTTTTACAGATGGTGTGATGTTTACTTCCCGAATTTGGTGGGATTTTACTGAATCCATTCTTCCCTCTACCTGTGAAATGTTCCCCGTGCCACTGGCTGCAACACAAGCCCAAAGCATGATTGATCCACTCCCGTGTTTAACAGTTGGACAGATATTCTTTTCATGACATACCTTTGCTTATTGCGTCACATGTTCTATTTTAACTTCAGTAGTCCACAGGACTTGTTTCCAAAAAGCATCAGGCTTGTTTAGATGTTGCTTCTGATGCTGTATTTTGTGATGAAGACACGGGAAAGGCTTTTTTCTGTTGACTCTTCGAACAGAAATCTTCCATCTTCCCATAGCCTTCTCCTGTTTTGTTGGCATCAGTTATTTTAGTTTTCAGAGTGCTAGGCAGCTGTTTAGAGGAGCCCATGGCTGCTGATTGTTGGGACTGGGTTTCAGGAGTCCAAGTTTTTTTTAAAGCTTTGAAATTTGCATCACCTGGCCTTTCATAACAATGCCTGTGAACAAGCTATAGCCCTAACAAGCTAATAAAGGTCTGAGACCCTGGTAAAAGTTGTCTGAGAGCTCAAATGTCTTGAAGTACCCAAACCTTTGCATGGTGCACCTTTCCTCTTTTTCACTATTAAATTGTAGAAAACAAATATAATACACTAATGTTGCTTAAAATGTAGAAAAGCATGTTTCATCTTTAACTTCATGCCTGTTGCAGATCAGTTCATCCTCTACTTACTTAACTATTCACAGTAAATAACTTTTTGACCAGGAGTGCCCAGACTTTTCCATGCCACTGTAGTTATTCATTTATTGGCCTTAGGTGTTGCTGGAAGTCAACCCAGTGCTTTTTGTCAGAAGCCCAATCTTACAGGCAGTCATTATGTTGCAGTGCATGGAGTAAGGTGAGGATTGGTTTGAGCAGATGACAGGGCACTATTTTCTTTAATTTGTTTCTTTCCCCAATACAGTTTAGTTTCGATTTGTTTCCAGAGTGGGTTTGCATGTGTCAGTCTAGTTTTTATTCGTTGCAGTATTAGCTTTTAGATGGATATTTGTCAGGGCTGAAATCTAAGAAGTTACAAATAGTTATTAAGACACAAGCACAACTCTTAGTGAAGGCATTTGATTCACAGTCCTGTCAAATTTCAGTCTTAGTAAACATATGTACCAGTGCCTCAACAAACTTGTGATGCTGACACATTTGACCAAATTGACAAAGACTAAAACTGAAGACATTTCCTATTTATTTTTATTTTATTTCAGTTACTTTTGTAAGTACGCAATATTGTTTCAGTTTGAAGTCTAGTTTTTATTTTTATTTAAGTTAAGGTAAATGTTTTTTTGCACCAAATTTTAGTTTTTAGTTTGGTTTTAGTTAACTGTAATATCTGGTCTGTCCACAGCTAGTCTAACAAACTACTGGACCAATCAACCTAACAATTGTTGTGTGCATTTATGATCTCTCTTGGTTTCAGTGATTCACAATTTTCAAAATCCCTGTTTTATTCACTGTTTCATGGCTTCATGACTGCTGACTCCTCACTCCTCTTAAACAACTGGTAGGAGCCACAAGTCATTAACGAAATCACATAGCAAAAGGCATTTCTAGCAATCTTCTTGGCGAAAAACAAAACTTACTGTCTGTTACAGTCCATGTTTTTGCCGTGGCTTAACTGATCCATTGAAAAGTTTGGTCTCAATTTTCACTGGAGCGTCTGCAGATTAATTCCACACCTGATATGTTATTATCCACTAAAGTGGCACGATACGAGATAAATACATTCTCTTTTTGTTTTTTGCCACCATCTTGACTGTAAGGGAGCTGGATGGGACAATTGAGTAAGATTCACCTCTTCTTTGTTTGGGAGGGGAGAGGGGCTTCAGGAGGCCTCAAAAAGCTGCTAGCACTGCAGTCCTGTTATGCCATGTTTTGTTAATGCACAGAAGAAGACGAATTGTTAATATATCCTATACAATTCAGAATACCGCATACGGTCAAATCAGGAACTGTGTTTTGTGACCTTTAAAGTCACCTAACAAACGCTTCTTTGTTTCCACTTCCCAATAAAGCCACCAATCAGCTGAGGTAACTGTGGCTTCATTCTATCGGATAGACAGTGAGTCATCACATTTACCCAGCATGCTCAGCGCCCTGGAGGAGCAGAACTTCCTGTTCCAGCTGCAGCTACAAGACAAAGCAGAGGAGGACTCCAGTGAGGTGAGAAGACATGATGAAGGCAGCTTTCTTTAGTTCAACTGTATTCAATCAGTCACTCTCACTGAGGTCAACATGTCTTCTAGATAACAAATAAATTTGCTTTACCAATCATAGTGTTGTGAATACAAATGAGCTACAAACTGTGAATTATAAGACATCGAGATCTTTCCAAGTTTTTGTGTGTGCCAAGTATTGTGATCCTGTGGCATAGTTTATAAACCAAGGGTTAATTTTGGATTGGAAAATGTAGCTGCACTAAAAGGAAACCGAAGGGAAAATCTTTAAAATTGTCTCACAAACATGCAGTTTCATTTTTTGATAAAGCTGAGCAATTTCCTCAAATAGCTAGACATAATAGTCTTTAACAAACATTACTTAAACACAAGTAAATAGTGCATTTGTTCAGGACTATTTCAGCAGCAGATTAATCCACATTCAGTGGTCCAATGAGTATTTGTGGCAGCAGGACGGTGTATGTTGGATTAAGTCAACATAATCTACAGTGTTCCCACAGTCATGGAAAACCTAGAAAAGTCATGGAATTCCACAATTTCATTTTCCAGGCCTGGGAAAGTCATAGAATCAGTAAAATCCTTGAAAGTTTTTGAAAAGTTGTGTGTAATGAAATTTATTGTTTCAAGTAATCTTTTATGATAACCTTCCATGTAATGTAACATAACTGTGAATTTATTTTCTGTTGCTGATGATGTAATGTAGGACTAATATGCGTCGATGTGTGACATTTTGTTTACCACAGCAGGTAGGGTGCAAAGAAATTCACGGTTCGGTTTGATACAATACAGTGGTGTCACGGTACGGTACGTTGTTGATACAGCAAAAAAGTAGAAATGGCAGAGAGATTTCCTAATTTTTTCCTTGTTAATTTAAATTTTTTGTTATTTTAATTAATAAATTAATGAAAACTAACATCATAAAGTATGATATTTTTGACTAGAACAGTGTACCCGAGTGACTTATCTTTTGCGGTGTCTTCTTACCAGTACTACCTTTGAATAGGCACAATCTCAATCATACATATTTAAGAAACAACCTTTAATATAACCATTCACATTAAAAACATCTTTAAAAACTGCTTTACCTGCTTTTTACTATATATACATCATAATTCCCTCTCTCATATCTATTTTATATTGTTGCTGTGAAAACATCAACAAATTTCTTCTTCAAACAGCTGTATTTATTCAAATTTCTCACCAGAAACTACATTTTACAAGATTATCTTGAACACATAACGAGAACCTTATAATTTACCTTTGCCCAATACTCATTTTTATGTCTTACGCGCTGGCGATAGCTGTGGGCTGTCTGTACATACATACATACATACATATGTACTTCCCATCCTTGGAAACATGATATCTCAAGAACGCCTCATGGAAATTTCTTCAAATTTGGCTAAAATATCCACTTGGACTAAACGATGAACTGATGAGTTTTTGGTGGTCATAGGTCAAAGGTTAAGGTCACTGTGGCCTTGTCTGTCTTATTGTCATAAACGCGTTATCTCAAGAAGGCCTTGAGGGAATTTCTTCAAATTTGGCACAAAAGTTGACTTGGACTGGAAGATGAACTGATAATTTTGGTGGTCAAGGGTCAAAGGTCAAGGTCACTGTAACCTTGCGTCCATCTCATTGTCATGAACACAATATCTCAAGGACAGCTCAAAGGAATGTCTTCAAATTTGGCAACTTGGACTCAACGATGAATTGAGTAGTTTTTGGTGGTCATGGATCAAAGGTCAAGTTCAGTGTGACCTCACAAAATATGTTTTTGGCCATAACTCAAGATTTCATATGCTAATTATGACAGAACTTCACACACATGTCTGACACATGGCTAAAATAATGAAGTGATGGAATTTTATATCCAAAAGGTCAAAGGTCAACTTCCCTGTGACATCATAACATTCTAAAAAAACACTTTTCTGGCCATTATTTAACGTCATAACTCAGGAACAGAAAGGGAACTAGTTGGTCAGATACTTGATTGGTGACACTAATCTTGGGTGTTCACCTTGAAACTGTGCTGATTGTATAAGTCATCTGTGCTGTCGGACGTGGATGTAAACTGTAAGAGAAACTTGACTGGTGATGGGGGCATACAACCGCAGGATGGTATTTCAAGTTACTGAATTGGGTTTGAACACATATTATAACTCAATGCAACCTCCGTCAGCTGTTATTTGCGGCCACCGGCTGCTTAGAGCTAACATTCAGTAGCTCTCCTCTTAACACGGATTTGTTATTCACCATGTAGCATTATCAGGAAAACAACAGGGAGCGTCCTTTGATGCGACGACAGTGAGTTCACTGTGTTCTTTCGTCCCCCGGGAAGATCTTTGTTTGTCCCAATCACGCTTTCCAGCAACACTGGCTGCTACTAGTCATCTCATCACTCAACAGTGAGAACACAGAGTCCATTTGCTAAACAGTAATTGTATTCCTCTTGTACCTCCTCATTAATGATAGTTTGTAACCGTAAATCACGAGCCCTGCTTTTAGCCTGTGCAACACTGATGTGACACAACAGAAGAACATCAGACACATCTTCCCAACCGTCTTTCAACAAGCTAGGTTAGCGAAGCTGCCACCCAGCATGTCTCATTAGAATAAAATGTTAAATGGGTGGAAGGGGGAGACAGCATGTTGTCTTTTCTGTCCTGTGGGCTGCCTTGTTGAGAACATTATATTAAACATAGTTTGAGCTGTACATTTTATCTTCCAAATGTAATAATATAGTTAATCATATTGTTTGGTTTGTGATGCATACTGAACCAAAAGCCTCGTACAAGTGGTGTAATACGAATACGTGTGTTGTTACACCCCTAGTCGCTGGTATTATGTTTGAATAGAGTTTGAATCTGATATGTTTAAAAAAAAAACAGTGTGACTTAACACATAGGCTCACGAATCCCAAAGTGTCAAACCTTTGCCTCACTTTTAAATTGTGCCCCATTTTTTAAATGGAACTAGGGTACTTTGATTTTGTTTTTAATTGCTCTAAAGGTAGAAAGAAAAAGAACCAATGGGCCAACCAAACTGTCTGCTGTCACTCACCCGCTGTGGGAGCTCTACTGCTCTAATGTGTCCATGGACCAGACATTTGGAGTAAAGTGCACTGTACAGTTCTGTTCCTGTTTTTCATTGTGGAGGTATTGGAAGTGTCACCAGTAGTCCTTGAGAAGTCGTGGAAGGGTTTTGAAATTTGGTATCTTTAAAATGTGTGGGAACCCTAAAACTACAGTGTGTGTGTGTGTGTGTGTGTGTGTGTGTTCATAATGAAGTAAGATAAGATAAGATACACCTTTATTGATCCCACAATTGAGAAATTCCAGTGTTAGAGCAGTCAAGGGGAAAGAGTCAGATTCAAGATTTAAAAATTTAAAAACTTAAAAAACTAGGCATGCAAAGAAAGTACAAAAAATACAAGAAACAGCAATGAATAATAACAATAATGATAATAATAATGAGGAGCAGTGGATAATAATGAGAAGTGGATAAAAATGAGCAATGGATTAAAGTGAGCATATTTAGTGCAAAGTGATTGTATGTGCAAATAAACAACAACAAGGGGGACAGTAATGCTTATAATGGTGTTTATGAAGTGTCCATAGTTTCCCTAAAATGTCCATGTTGCAGTTTATTGTGAGCAGTGCTGGTTATGTAGCCTGACAGCAGCAGGCAGGAAGGACCTGCCATAGCGTTCCTTCACACACTTTGGGTGAAGCAGTCTATCGCTGAAGGAGCTCTCCAGAGCTTTTATCTCCTCCTGCAGGGGGTGGGAGTTGTTGGCTGTCATCCTCCTTTCTCCCACCACCTGCACAGAGTCCAGAGAGCATCCCAGGACAGAGATGGTCTTCTTGATCAGCTTATCCAGTCTCTTCCTATCTGCAGCCGAGACACTGCTACCCCAGCAGACCACTCCGTAAAAGATGGCTGATGCCACCACCATGTCAAAGAAGGTCTTCAGGAGCGCCTCCTGCACTCCAAAAGCACCTAGTGCAACGGTGTGGCTCACTGATGTTTGTAATAGTTTTAGATCACCATATGTCCTAATACATGTATTGTTTATATTTCTGCAGGGTTTGGAAATTCCGTTGGTGGCTGTGTTACAATGGTACACTCCAACACTGCCTTTAACGAGGTAACTATTCCTCTTCTGTCAGACAACTAGAATTTGGCCACTTAGCAGGTCTCTTTAAATAAAATGTTCTACAGTGAATACAGTGTAGCAGAATAATCATCTGTAGAACATGTCAAAGCAGGAAAATGAAACTGAGCCATCATTGACGATATAACAAAGGCCATCAATTAAAAGAAATGAAAATACTATTGTGCTCTCCCTCCAGATACATCTCCAGTTGTTACTCACTGCCCAGTATCCGCCTGGATCGTCCTCGGCTGGTGATGACAGCTTCCTGTCCTAGTGCTGTCAAGCCTCTGGAGCACTTCTGGGTAAAATACACCCTACTTAACAACTTGCAGGACTTCCTGGCCGTCCGTCTGATCTGGAATTCGGATGGTGAGTAGCAAACTTTAGCATCACATTTAACCCTTTTCCAACGAATTAGCTCTGATTCTTGAACTGGTTCCACTCAAGATTCTTGGAACTTTGGTGCTATCCAGTGGACCAGCCCACGTTTCCACCAGTTTTGCACTAAACTATTGTAATCAAGGATGTGTCATCAACAGAGGATGATGCACAATGTACAAGAGAAGTAAACAGTAGTAGCAAATTCACAGATTACATTGATTACTTGCAAACTTTTGTTCTGTTATTCTGTCAATGGACAGTTAGACATGCGAGCAGCAGCTGAAAACCTCCAATGGTGCCAGCAGTGGGTGTGTTCCCAACAGCTCAAAGCCCTTCACTTACATGGAAATAAAAGAGCTAAATAAAATGTCAGTATTGATTCATGCATGTTACAGCATTCATCACTGTGACAGGCAGATCAGATTAGATTGAATCTACAGTGGAAATGTTGTGACTCATTTCTGCAGTCAACATCTTATCTGTCCACCAACTTCTGACTACTGCATAAAGGGGAACAAATGTTTTTTTCAACCTGGGCCCTATTTTCCAATCTACTTTTGTCTAAATGAGTGATAGGATGTTCAATATTTGACATTTCTCCAGTACGAAGATAGGGCTGACCTGCCTGCAGCCCGTGAGCGCTAGTACAAATGATAGGGCACTCAGACAGCGTCAAACAACATCAAAATACGTCCACTAAAAGTGCATTTTTTTCACACAGATAGGCTCGGATTGTTAGTATAATTATCCGACAACATAACGGAAAGGAGAAATGAACGTTTGTGTTTACCTTTAGCTGGATTCGGACATGTTCCTCTGCCTGTTGCTGCTCCCTCCCTCTCTCCTCGTCCGCTCTTCAGTTTCAATGAGCTCTGCATCCGTGTAGTTCCGTGTACTCCGTGTTCAAATAAATACGGGCGGTCATCAAATTCAAATGGCTTATCCAGATCCAACTGGATCTGGATAAGCCATCGGGTAATCGGGTAAAAATTCGGACATGTTTGTTGTTATATGTATATATACATATATGTGTATATATATATATGGTGTGTTAAGAAATATTTGAGTTTCAGCGTTCTAGTTTTTGGACTCAGAAGAGTGATTCATGGTTACCAGTGTTGTAGGGATGTCTTAGACCAAAGGAATGACATGTATGAATTTTAATCATTTTAATCAAACCTACCTAAACCTACACTTCTGACTGTTGATGAGCACTGAAGGGACCCAGTGGTGTTGTAAGGGCAGGCACAAAAGTTGGTAAATGGAAAAATTAGCACAAATGAAGGGAATTTGGGTTTTTTTGAAAGTGAAAATAATTAGCATGATCTCCTTGGACAGAGTTTAGGGGACCCTAAAGGAAAAAAACCGACACTGGACCATCAGTAGACCATTAGATGGTGGATCATCTTCCTTAAATCTTAGAGGTACAAAAGGAACTGGCCATAGGTCTGCCTTTAAAGTGATCAGTCATTTTCAAATCAATATTGAAATTCAGTGGCAGCCAGAAACTAAAATTCTTATGAAATTCCCTTGTAGAGTAGTAATCCTCAGTCTCAGACTGTCTGCATTGTTGCATTGGTGTGAGGTAAAGTCAGATGCCCTGATGCAGCTGTGATCATGACCGGGTCAGTATCCAGATGTGTAATCTGTGTGTAGCCAGCGTGGAGACATATTGTAGCAGCCTTTGAGACGTGTATGCTGGGTGTGTCAGGGTAACAGCCAGCAATGATGAAATCCAACATTACAGTCAAGTACTGAAACACCACAGAATTCAAATAGGTCTAATATCTGTGTGGGTGGGCAATGTCGCTAGATCCATATCTGGACCCATGATGGAGAGACCAGCTAGACCCCCTCCTTTCTGTAATGTGGCACAAATAGACTGCATGTGAAGTAGGGCTGGGTATTGATTCAGATTTTCCAGATCGATTCGATTTTCAAGGACTCAGTTCGATCCGATTCACGATTTGATTCGATTCGATTCAATTCACTTCAATATCGATTCAGTCAAGTATATTTCAATTATGATACAAAATTTGCTTGGATATTAAGATATTTTCTGAGAACTAACGAAGTATATTTAACAAGGAACCCTCTGACCTGGTGCATTACTATTAAAAATACTGTTTACATTAAGAATTGACCCCAAAGCAGTACATTAGTCATCATGTACTTTTATTTAACATTACCTGACACATACAAAATAAATATTTTAAATTAAATCTAATCACAGGGCAGACAATTTAAATGAAGTGGCTACAAAAAATGTAAATAAAGGACATCCACAAGTTTGCTGCCTGTAACCGTCTTATAAAGCTTTTGTGCAATACACTACAGTGGTTGTGATGCACACATTGACTGTATCAGAAGAGAAACAATATACGTAGGTGAACCCTGCAGCAAAGTGAACCCTCTTCCTCAGAGAGGATCTTTGCCTCCCAGTTTGTTCATGGCGGCAGAGCAGAGTGAACCGTCTTTCTTCTCAGAGGATCTTTGTCCCATGAGAGCAGGCACGCTGCTCTCCGTGTCTGCAGTGTGAACATCTTTCGCTGGCGATTTGACAGTCACTAGAAGCACATTATGACCCTTTGTAAAAGTTTCTGTATGGTACCTGTGTTGTACATGAGCTAACGTTGGCGGGTAAGGACTGAGAGGCTGTACGGTATGTGTGTCTGAGGAGCGTCAGTACGTTAGCTTGTTAGCCGTAACGTTAGCCTTGCTGTTTGTCATGTTAACGTTATTGTTGTAAGCCCTGAATAGCTTGTAAAGCTTTAGCATAGTTAACACATTTGTTATCGGCCCATGTGTTTACGGCTACAGAGAATTAATAAATCTTTGGTTTATTTGTACAACGTCGCCTCTCTGCCGTCTTTTATCACGCTTGCTAACGCTACCAGCAGATCTGTATGAGGTACAAACTGGGGCTACAGTTAGCAGTGTGCTGATGCTTAGTGGTATTTCTTAATCTTTTTCTGTGAAACTGATGTGCATTTAATAAACATTATTGGCATTATATTTTTAGGGGAAAATGCGAGTGAAAATACTCGCACTGTAGACCCATGCCTTCAGTGGACGCGCTCCCACCATTGTTTGCTGCTCTGTCTTCATTCAGTGTCCGGCCGTCTCGCGAGATCTCTCGCCATGACCTCAGGTGCTAAATGCTGATCTCGCAAGACTACCTGGGTTGATAGTACTGCAGGCTGCTGCAGTCTGCTACCGGCTGTACAACACGTCCACGGAGGAAAATAGATATAGCAAAAGATAGATTTTTTAATTAATGAATCGATTTTGTGCCATTTAAAGGAAAATTGATTCGAATCGATTAAATCGATTTTTTCAACCCAGCTCTAATGTGAAGACCAGTGACTTGGGAAGTGTTGAAACAACATGAGAAAAGTAAGGGATTTTGGAAAAATTTAAAATTGGCATGAATGACAGCAGCAGGAAAATGCACCATGCCATACCGCAAAAACTGCTCAAGAATGACTCAAGGAACATGACAAAGAGTGCATGGCATCAACCAGGCCTCCACATTCTCCAGATCGCAATCTAATCAAGTATTTGTGGGATGTGCCAACACCCCATAGTCAAGTCCGATCCATTGCTGGGGCTCCTTGGATCGCATTTGGCTCCGATCTGTTGAGGTATGGACACAGGACCTCTGAGGGTGTCTTGTGGTGTCTGGCACCATGGCGTTGGCAGCTCATCATTTGAGTCCTGTAAGTTGCAAGGTGGCGTAACCACGCATGCTCAACTGGACTGGGAAGTCGAAATTTGGAGGCCAGGCCATCGCCTTGAGCTCTTTGATAACGTTCCTCAGGCATTTCATGAGTGGTCCCTGATGGTAGTTGCCCCACCAGCAGAACAACACACCCTGCCACACAATGAACAGAGGAATGTGACAAGGCATCGACCTGGCCTCTGAATTCTCCAGATATCAATATGATCAAGCATCTGTGCGACATGCCAGTACCCCAGAGTCAAGTCAGATCCATTGTGGGGGCGCCTTCTGACCTGCTGAGGCATGGACACAGGACCTCTGAGGCCATCCTGTAGTGTCTGGCACCGCGGTGTTGGCAGCTCATCATTTGAGTCCTGTGAGTTGCAAGGTGGTGTAAACGTGCATGCTCAGTGGCATTGGGATCTTGGGAATTGGAGGCCCAATCAACACCTTGAGCTTTTTGTCACGTTCCTTAGGCCTTTTCTGAGCAGTTTTTTTTCTGCTCAGATGACTGGAAAGAGTCCAATCTGCATTATTGGATGAGATGATTATAATATTAGCAACCATTAACAATGCATCAGGATGTTCAGTGTACTGATTCATCCATCATTTTTCTGGGTTTTGGGGTCTGCTCCACAAATAGTGTGTCTCCAGTTGACAGAATAATTTCCCTGTATGGTCCTTGTAGTAGGTGTTCTGAAACTTCTGAACAAATATCGGGATCCACCTTTAGTAAATGGGCAAGAGCCTTTATTAACCTTATCTTCACAACCAAGCCTTCATTCTGAACATGCTACTTGCATTAGACTGTGTTAAATTCCTGTCACTTTTAGTTTAGTGTAATCTTTTTTTCTTCCTACACAGATGTTTGATATTAATAGCCCCTCTCCTTTTCTATTATTTCAATACTTTCACCAAGAATGTCAGGTATTTGGTTCAGCTTGCTTGTTTGTCAGCAGGATTACAGAAAAAAAAGCACTCAGATTTTCATTAAACTTGATGGAAAGATGTAGCATGGGCCAAGGAAGAATCCATTGAATTTTGGAGTGGATCGGAATCACAGGGTAGATGCACAAATTATTTTCTATTTAACATTAGTGCTGCACGATTAATCTAATTGCAATCGCGATGTCAGGCTGTGCGATTACATAACCGCATAAAAGGCTGCGATTTGTGATTTAATGTAAATAAATGTTAACGTGTGTGCCTGTGAACGTGACTGCCTCTCCTGCAGTGTGTGGAGTTTGTTGACATCACGCCCACAAGC